CATGCCCGGTGATCTACACCAGTTGCCAATCATATAAATTTATTTAATTTCATTTATTTGAATATTTGTCAACAACATTTTTTTTACTAAGAGATAACATATCAGTCAATAACCTATTCACTGAAGACAAAAAAAAAAGAAGAAGATTTTTTGAATTTCTGATAACAGATGAACGGCAGTACATATATTTATCGATTTTCTTTATAGAGAATTGACATAATTAATCTGAATGATACATGCTTGACACACGCAAATTACATATATAACGTGGTAAAAACTTTTTTTTCAATTTAATGAAAACTAAAATAATATTTATATTTATAGATAAGCAAATAAAGTCAGAGGATGGAACTCATTGTCTTAAACATTTTCCACTACTGTCACACAATTCAATCTTTTCTTCAAATGTCTAACCAACATATGTATTAAGAAGATAAAGCTATAAAAAAATTTAAGTGTATCTAACATATATACTTTGAGCTAACAATTCGAACAAAGTATGCTATCACAACATGATAAAAAATTTAAAATGTTTAACACTAATTTAATCATCTCTGATACCGTGTGATGAGTAAAGAACGAGATCACCCGTGGGCAAATGTATCCGACGATGTAATTTAATCAGAATTTCAAACTACAGGGCATTCTTAGTAACTTTGCAATAAATATTATGTCATAATATATAAATAAACAGAATAACAAAACAAGTTAAAATAAATATATTATATTAGTACCAATTTTTCTTTATAAAAATGTCAATGAAGTAAGCTTAAGAAAGCTGAATTAATACATGTAAAAAAGTAAACCATCAAATATTTAGACTTCTTTGTGGCAATCTGTTTCAGAATATTTTCAAAATTCAATAAGCCTTCCAAACTTTGCAACATTTTCGAGATCATGCGCTGTCAATTCAGGCACCTTGAAATATCTTTCCACCAATTTTCATTTTTTAAATGTATCTCCTCGGTCCAAATCGTCTTCGATTTTCAATACTCCGATACTTAAAACAGGAAAAAAGACATCTTTATAGAGAGCGATGGTTCCCAGTTTTACAAGGCATTCTTTGCAGGATATATGACCGACTCCCATCTCGATATCCTTACCAGGATAAGCTGCTTTGGAATATTTTTTCCCGATAATGCTATTTTTAAAATCTTCACTAATACAAGTATGATGAGCATTTAGTATCTTCCTTAACTCGCTCGACATACACAAGAAAGCATTGCATTTCAAGCACCTGCAAAAAGGAACAATTTGCATTATAAAGCATTTACTGGTTTTTCAGCATCCTAAAGAAAAATATGACTGATATCACTTATCCTCGCCCTATGTAAAATAAATCAAAATACTGATTATTCTTAAGCTTGAATATAGAATACAAAATACTTTTTATGGATATTGAACATTAACTTATGCAACTGATTAAATGATGGACTTAGTAACTATCAGCATTGCATTCTTAAAAATATTTTTTGTATTTTTACCTTAAGCAAAACCTTAACCTTTACCTTACCTTATTGCCCAATTTCTACGACTCTTCTTTCCTTGTTATGCTTTGCTGCATCGCGTTCCCTTTTAGCGAGTTTCTGAAACTCTTGTTGCTTTTCAAGGAACACATCGTGGTTGGAATCAATCTCTTGCTGTACTTTTTTCATTGCTTCTTTCATCATCGGCTCTTTTAAAGTATTCACCCACTCTCTTTCAGCAACACACTTCTCTGCAGAGGCTAGCACATAGAAACGGCTGTTTTCTGCACGACCTCGACCTGTATCACATACAAACATATGTATGAAAACTACACATCTTAAATCAGGGTGTCCGATGCATGGTGAATTCACCCTATATCTATGAACTGCGTGATTAATAACAAAAACTTTCTTTTAGTTAACTTTTTATCTTTTTTTCCCATAAAAAGTTACTTTTATCTTAATTATAGAAGGAAGGATACATAAAGGATCAAAAGTATACATAACTATTATCACAAAATAAAAACATATTTTTCAATAAACAGTTTATCAATTTTTTAAAACGAATATAAGATCTATGATTTCAAGGGCGACAAAACTTAAGGCACTAAAAATATAAAAATTCTTCAGGAAATTCTTTAAATCTTGTAACAAAAACACATCTCGAAAATTCACTCTCAACAAAAGAGCAAAACTTCTTGTACAAAACAAGGGGCGGAAACATGTAAATGTTTGTCTTTTCACACCAATTTCTATAAGGTGTATAACCTAAAGTCTTTCGGAGTCCAGTTTATTTTTTGTTGTTTTATCATACCTCCTTCTACAGTTTGAGCCTGTGAACCAGTGTACTTTCGAGCTTTTATGTGTTGTAACTCCTTTGAGTTGTCCATCCATGAAGCAAGTATGTCTGCAAGAATACGAGTTCTTACGAACACTATTCCCCTCATGTTTGGTTCCTCTTCATGTGTTGTTATGATAATTTCTTTGAGTTTCAGCATGAGAGGATTTTCTGCGGTTCTTTCGTGGTCCAAATCGCATTCTGTCAACTTTGTGTATTCCAGTGAATCATAAAAAATATTTTATATAAAAATCTATTTTATGTATAAGGGTTGTCCCAAAATTTCATAGATTGAGCTCATATCTTTTAAAGAAATTATTGTATCTTCATAAAATTTTCCGGGTGGTTGAAGTGTGTTGTGGGCAGATAAATTACAAATTTTTCCATGTTTATGATAACAATTTAAGTAATAAGATTTGAAGTGATATCGCTCTCTACCAACCGGAGCAATCTCCAACCTAAAAAATGAGACAAAATGTCAACGGTTCAGAGTTTTGGAGAAAAAACACTAATTACCAGAATCAAGTTCTTAAATTAATCATAAAGATTAAAGATGGGAATGAGAAATATCTTAATCATTATGATATGGTTGAACATTAAAATACATGATCAAAGTACGTGCATGTACAAGTATGAAATAATATTTTGAAAACCCTATGTTTCCAATGGTTTTTCGTCTGTCTTCTTTAATGGAGATGCACAGTGTCACTCTTGCCCGATTATTAGACCGGTCTTTTTTTTAGTTTCCGTTCTTTACATTCTTTGAGAAACCATTTCAATCATTTTAATATACTAAAGACCAGAAGAATTTCCATGTGTACCAAACATTTATGACATACATTTCTGTAGGAGTGAATTCAAGATCAAAACACTTGATCACAGTCCAGTGCGCTACCTGTGTCATCGCATCCGCCATTTCTCAGCAAGTCGAATTTAAAGTTATATATAAAACGTTATAAAACTCATATTCGTTAAAGTATATACACCAAAATTTGAAGATAGGTATTAATACAATATTAACAAATTTCATTTCTAATCCCAAAATACCGAGTACTAATAGTAAATACTTTTTTGTAGGATTTTAAATATTACATATCGATGTTTAATTACATTTTTAGTGTGCTGCACGAAATAAATTTCTCGCGAATTAAAGGCGATTTACAATTAGAACTGAGGCCATTAAAGTCATTTTTAAGAAAATACAGTCATACACGTTAAATTGAATACTGATATCCAGTGAGAATCTCGGTAGTTTTTTTTAATGATTATTAACTGTATGCTTCTTTTAAATAAATAAAAATAGTTTGAGAGAAAGTAAAACATCTTTTCCAATTTTTAATTTTCTCCAATTTCAGATAATTGGATTTCTATATTATTAAAATTCATGCTTTTCACATTATACACAAACACAATCAACCTGTTAAATTATGATTTAAAAAAACTACACAAGTCTGCATATAGCACAGAACATGTACAATGGTTTCCAACGGCTTACAAATCATTATCTGGGTTCATTGTACATAAGAACATACGACTGGCACAGAAACATGAGCTAAAATAAATAAAAAGTTTTGCAAAATTATTGATTCTGTTAAAAATTACTCGCATAAAAATATCCTTTCTACCTTTAAATTCTTTATTTGAAATACTAAAATCATTTCAAAATTAAGTATGATAGAAAGTAATTTGCAAAACGCATAATTAAATACATGTATAATTAGTAGTAAACGACATATACTGAATGGTATAAACTGGTTCATTTCAATTAAAAATAACATCATGTTCTTATTTCTAAATGCAAAAATATGGTATATTAATAATCTTGATACAAAGTAATGAAATAGAAGAAAAATTTTAATCATTTCTCATCATTCTTTCACATTAAACATAGCCATAAAACAACATGTAAATAATCATAGAAATAAATATACGCCATATCAATTATTTAAAATTCTTTTTTCAGTTTCAACACATCACAGTATGTATATCATAAACATATACAATAGCTTACACCGGGTTACAAATCAATATCAATTTATTTGTTGATGAAGTCACAAAAGACTGCTGTATCTCTGACAGGATATGAACGACTCCAAATGTCCAGCGATTTCCTTAATAGAAAATTACATGTATTGACTACAATACGTCGCCATAAGTAATTCATGTACAATAATAATATAAATGTAATGAATGGTATGAATGGATCGATTTAAAAAGAAAAAAACCTTTCGATTATTTAAGTATGGTATAGAAATTTCAATATAAAGTAATACACTTCTTTATCATTTCTCCTCCTAACTTTTTCAACAATCCTTTCTTCTAATGTCTTATCAACATGTGAATTATTTAAACAAAAACTTATTTTTTTGAAATAAACATAAGAAAATGTGTTCATTAATATAAAAATATATCACAGTACAGAAATGTATAATCATACAAATACTTGAAGATAACATTTTGAATACAGTATGTTAGAACAATATGAAATTAAATATTAAGCATTAAACATGTTGTTAACATACTCAATACTATGTACTGCAAAGTATTTTAGCTATAGAACTTAAAACAATGCTTGTGTAATAAATTAAATCTTTGTTGTAACATTTTCTTTTTATAAAATTATCAAATAAATTACGAAAAATAAATTAATTTTCAATGTACTTGAAAAAAAAAATTATAACCATCAAATATTAACATCTTCTTTGTTGCAAAATCTCTTTTAGAATATTTCTAAAATTCAATAAGTCTTTCAAACTTTGCAACATTTTCAAGATCAGCCTCTGTTAACTCTGGCACCTTGAAATACCTCTCCACAAATTTCCATTTTTTCAAAGTATCTCCTCGCTCCAAATCGTCTTCGATTTTTAATGCAGTGATACTTAAAATAGGGAAAAATACATCTTTGAAGAGAGCAATGGTTCCTAATTTCACAAGGCATTCTTTGCAAGAGATCTGACCGACTCCCATCTCAATATCCTCTCCTTGAAAGGCTGCTTTGGAATATTTTTTCCCGATTATGTTATTTTTTATATCTTCACTGATACAGGTATGATGCGCATTAAGTATCTTCCTTAATTCGCTCGACATGCACAAGAAAGCATTGCATTTCAAGCACCTGCAAAAAAACGAACAATATGCATTATATAACATTTACTGTTTTTCAGCATACTACAGAAAACTATGTACTGATATAACCTGCCCTTGCTCTATGTAAAATAAATCAAAATATGAATTATTCTAAAGCTTGATTTACAATATACAAAATACTTTTTTATGGATATTGAACATTAACATATGCAAATGATTAAATGATGGACTTAGTAACTGTCAGCAAATATTTTTTTTTGCATTTTCACCTTAAGTTATATTGCCCAATTCCCACGACTCTCCTTCCCTTGTTATGTTTTGCTGCATCGCGTTCCCTTTTAGCGAGTTTCTGAAACTCTTGTTGCTTTTCAAGGAACACATCGTGGTTGGAATCAATCTCTTGCTGTACTTTTTTCATTGCTTCTTTCATCATCGGCTCTTTTAAAGTATTCACCCACTCTCTTTCAGCAACACACTTCTCTGCAGAGGCTAGCACATAGAAACGGCTGTTTTCTGCACGACCTCGACCTGTATCACATACAAACACATATATGAAAACTACACATCTAAAATTATAACATCTTTTTATCTCTAAATCATTTTTCTACATTGTGATATATATCAAATGTATTTCTTCAAATTTTTTTTCAAATATGTTAATAAATGCATGAATTGCTTTTCTATCGAAGTTACTTGTACCTCGTGCTTGCACCAGGGAAATTGGATTTCCGGCATAATCGTATCTTACAACAAGATTACACTCTTTGATGTCGAGTCCCTCCTCAGCAATAGTTGTCGCAACTATAATTTTAAATTCTCCATTTTTAAACAGTTCAATGGCATTTACTTGTTCGTGTTTAGTCATGCCTACAAAAAAGGAGCAATTTTAAGATCCCAACATATACATAAACATGAACGTTAAATGCACATGTATATCTATGAACTGCGTGATACTAACAAAAACTTACTTTTAGCTAACTTTTTATCCCATGAATTACAGAAAGAAAGATACATAAAGGATCAAAAGTATACATAAATATTATCACAAAATAAAAACAGTTTTTGCAATAGACAATTTATCAATTGTCGAAAAAGAATCAACTACCCATGATTTCAAAGGCGATATAACTTATGGCACTGAAAATTTAAGAATTCCTCAGAAATTTGTTTAAATCCTGTAACAAAAACTCATCTCGAAGATTCACTGTCAACAATAGAGTAAAACTTTTTGTACAAAACAAGGGGCGGAATCATGTAAATGTTTGTCTTTTGGCACCAATTTCTATAAGATGTATAACCTAAACTCTTTCGGAGTCTAGTTTATTTTCTGTTGTTTTATCATACCTCCTTCTACAGTTTGAGCCTGTGAACCAGTGTACTTTCGAGCTTTTATGTGTTGTAACTCCTTCGAGCTGTCCATCCATGAAGCAAGGATGTCTGCAAGAATACGAGTTCTTACGAACACTATTCCCCTCATGTTTGGTTCCTCTTCATGTGTTGTTATGATGATTTCTTTGAGTTTCAGCATGAGAGGATTTTCTGCGGTTCTTTCGTGGTCCAAAGCGCATTCTGTCAATATTGTGTATTCCCCTGTACATAAAAATATTTTATATAAAAAGATGTTTTATGTACAAGGGTTGTCCGAAAATTCCATAGATTGAGCTCATATCTTTTAAAGAAATTATTGTATCTTCATAAAATTTTCCGGGTGGTTGAAGTGTGTTGTGGGCAGATAAATTACGAAGTTTTTCCATGTTTACGAAAACAATTTAAGTAATAAGATTTGAAGTGATATCTCTCTCTACCAACCGCAGTAATCTCCAATCTAAAAAATGAGACAAAATGTCAACGGTTCAGAGTTTTGGAGAAAATACACTAATTACCAGAATCAAGTTCTTAAATTAATCATAAAGATTATAGATGGGAATGAGAAATATCTTAATCATTATGATATGGTTGAACATTAAAATACATGATCAAAGTACGTGCATGTACAAGTATGAAATAATATTTTGAAAACCCTATGTTTCCAATGGTTTTTCGTCTGTCTTCTTTAATGGAGATGCACAGTGTCACTCTTGCCCGATTATTAGACCGGTCTTTTTTTTAGTTTCCGTTCTTTGCATTCTTTGAGAAACCATTTCAATCATTTTAATATACTAAAGACCAGAAGAATTTCCATGTGTACCAAACATTTATGACATACATTTCTGTAGGAGTGAATTCAAGATCAAAACACTTGATCACAGTCCAGTGCGCTACCTGTGTCATCGCATCCGCCATTTTTCAGTAAGTCGAATTTAAAGTTGCATATAAAACGTTATAAAACTCATATTCGTTAAAGTATATACACCAAAATTTGAAGAAAGATAGGTAATAAAACAATATTAAGAAATTTCATTTCTATTCCCAAAATACCGAGTAGTAAATACTTTTTTTGTAGGATTTTAACTATTATATACCGATTTTTAATTACATTTTTGGTGTGCTGCGCCGCCCACTCACACCAGACAATGAACTATTTTATTTGAATGGGGTTAATTTAATTTGTGTAAGTACTTTATGTTTGCCCATTAATTTTTTTTCTTTTTAAATTACGTACGAAGTTTCATTAATTTATGACACCGGGTTCCTATAAAACGAGGCTTTCTACGGAATTTTGGGACAACCCTCGTATGTCTAAAATAAAGCAACAAAATGGATTGATCACATTATAAATGAATTATCCCTCAAAAGAAAGAAAAATTCTTGCGGCTCACAGTTGATAAAGAATTGGTTAAATATAAATTATATCCTTGAGATCATTTTAGAATTACCTTCAAATAATGATTTTATTTTTCTCTCGATTTTATTTTCGTTTCTGGATAATTTTGGAAGATTATCAATGTCGGTTTTGATGCAATTCAATGCATCACTGGCTCTTGCATATGAATGATGGACAAGGGCATTGTTGTAAATCTGTAAAAGAAATATAAACAACAAAAATTTATTTCATTCATCAAGCTAATTCAGACACAAGAATCTGAAAGAAAAATTTTACACGTTTGGACAAAGTGAATTTTTTTTTTTCAACGCCATTATAATTAAATAATGTACTACATTAACTTTCACTCACTTTTCTGTTTTAAACGATAAAATATTCAGGCATTTGAAGATGATTGTAATCTACAAAGTACCTCTAAATATTTCCTTATTGTAAACAGTGATCGAGTTGCTTCTGATTTAGAGAGTTTTGCCAATGCTTTCAAAAGCACGTCCTCTAGCCATTGTGTGTATTGTTCGTTTCCTTTCAATGATGGAGGCTGTATAGCATTTCTGTCCACTATCCCAACTGTGTACAAAATAAAACAATTTTTTTTATTGTCCAAACACAATTGAACCTTCCATTTCATTTTTGCTATTTTTTTTTTCATCAGAAATAAAATTAGAATTACACTATACATTAAACTTACTAATCAGACAAATTAAAATAAAATACCGCATTATATTAATTAAGGTGGGTAGTTATTTTCTTTTTAAAAAGAAAATACCGCCAGTGTCTTCCAAATATTTCTCTGTTGTAACCATGAGAGATTTTACACGTACTCCAAACTCATCCTTCGGTCTGACAGGTACTTCTTTGATGACTTTTAAAAAAAATTAAATATATAATCAAGTGACAATTTCGCCAAAATGTATTAATTGGCTTAAAATTTTTGAAGAATTAATTAAACATGTCCGTAAACTTGCCGTCTAGCCTTTGATTGCCCGTAAATAATTTCTGATTATTCGAGGGAGGAAAGTGAAAATATAAAATAGACTTACATTGTTCTGGAGAGTTAACATGTTTGGCCAAATCGCGTCTGTTCTTTTGGACCGTCACAAGGTAATGAGCGTCCATGTTTGACATGACTTGCTTTAAATACTCGGTGGCTTTCTCAATAGTCTTAGCTTTTCCTACTCCAACAGATGCAGTAAAACCAACAACCTGTATAAAAAAGGTTGATAGACATTATAAACAGCAAATAATGCGATTTATTTCATTTTCTACAAGTTTTCTCCATGAGTTCAATAATGACTCCCTCTTTCTGAGAAATCTTAAGTGTTTGAGATTCAAATTTGATAAAAATCTTTATATCTTAAGAATACTATCAAGAAAATTAAAAATATAACTAGATAACATATATTTTGCTTTTCTGTATAGAAATGGGCAATTTGGCAATTCATAATTTTGTCATACTTGGGGAAGTTGGCTTTCTTCATCTGTCTGTTCCAGTTTGACATCCATGTACTGATTCATTATCTGTTTAAACGGATGACTACCATGACAGTGATGACATTCGTCAAATATAAGCAAAGAAAAATCTCTGATGCTGACACCTTGATTGGTCAGAGCATTGACCAGCATCTGTGCAGTGACCACAAAAACATCATATCTGTAATCAAGAGAAAAAAGAAAGGTTAAACTAGCTTTTGCTCTTTTTAAACTGAAATTTAAAATTCTGTGTCATAAATATTAAACATGACATATGTACGGAAGCCCAATAGTGCAAACCAAAAAAATAAGAAACAAAAAAACGAAATTATTATATAAAGAAAACGAAATTATTAAATAAAAAACGAAATTATTAAATAAAAAACGGAATTATTAAATGAAGAAAACGAAATTACTAAATAAAGAAACAAACGAAATTATTAAATAAAGAAAACGAAATTATTAAATAAAGAAAACGAAATTAATAAATAAAAGACAAACGAAATTATTAAATAAAGAAAACGAAATTATTAAATAAAGAAAACGAAATTATTAAATAAAGAAAACGAAATTACTAAATAAAAAACTGAAACTGAAATACGGAATTTATAGATGTGCATGGTAAGGGCCTGAACCCATGAATCATTCCATAAAGCGCACGTGTTATAAAGCATCACTTAGTAATTCTACAGACCTGATTTTGTTTCGACATTGAAACAAGTGTGGGGGAAATGAAAAAAAAAAAAAAACTTAGATAAATGTCAAATTGACAAACGTAGAAAAACATTATGTGCTCACAGCCTATAATTCGCATTTGTAAAGTAAATGATTAATAACTGTTCAATTTTGTTTACGGGAATTTGATGCTGTTTCGCATCCCCACAACGTCAAAGTTTGAGCCTGTAAGCCTGGACGTAGCGAGGATGGCTGTTTCTGCTTACATAAAATTAATGACATTCCAAAAGAGCTCATGAATCGCTGAAAGGTCAAGGCCTTGCGTATCGTATCGCTGAATTCCCCCCGAACTAAACCTAGTGCCCTATCTGTGTATCCATAAATCTTAGGTTGTTGAAACAATAAAGAGAATGATTTGAATACTAGTTGGGTTTGTTATGCAAGTGTGTGCATTGTTTGTCACAACTATCACTGACTTATAAATACGGATTGAGAATTTGTCATTTAGAACATGTGAGAACAAATAGTTAGTGCATCACTTCTAATTATGCTTTGATAAATGACCAACCAAGAAATCACAGGCGCTCCCCATGTAATTATGTAAATGACGAATGATAAGTATATATATATATAGGTCTACCCCTCAATACTATAAAATCAACCTTGTTGATTTTATAGTATTGAGGGGTAGACCTATGTACATGTATATATATATACTTATCATTTGTCATTTACAAAATTACATGAGGAGCGCCTGTGCAAGAAATTAGAGGTGTTTTGCTTAATTTTTAATAAAGTAAGCAATCATTAAAATCTACTCATTGTAACAAATTTGTCTTGTTTAATTTTTGCACTTGCTCTCTTTAAACAATAATTTAAATGGGTTCCGATCGGTAACGTATCATTTTACAGCTTTTTTTGTACTGTGCTATAATTGAAAAAAAGATGTATAACCATGGGAATTTCCTAAATGTTATAAGGTTCAGCAGTTGTAAACAACGGAATCTTAACAGACATGTATATCTTAAATATTTGTGCAATTTATTAGCATAATCTCTTTGATGTTTCATGTCCAGATTCATTGTTTGCTAATAATTAGACCTTCTGAGTTGAGGGTTTAAGAAAGCTAATACTAACATAAATTTGTCATCACTGGCCAATTCATCAGACTGGTCAAATTAAGTTCACATTAATCATGTTAATGTAAGATAAAAACATAGATCTAAGCATATTGGATAACCAAAGGTAAAATTCTCCCCTATTCATCTATTATGATTGTCTACTCCAACTGGTTATGTTATCGATACGGAAATAGCTGAGTGTAAATGCAAATATCACACTTGTTTTAATGTCGAAACAAAATCAGGTCATAGAACACGTGTGCTTTATGGAATGGTTCATGGGTTCAGGCCCTTACCATGCACATCTATAAATTCCGTATTTTAGTTTCAGTTTTTTATTTAATAATTTCGTTTTCTTTATGTAATAATTTCGTTTTCTTAATTTAATAATTTCGTTTTCTTTATTTAATAATTTCGTTTGCTTTTTATTTAATAATTTCGTTTTCTTTATTTAATAATTTCGTTTTTCTTTATTTAATAATTTCGTTTTCTTTATTTAATAATTTCGTTTTTGTTTATTTATTTTTGGTTTGCACTATTGGGCTTCCGTACATATGATTATTTACATGAATATAATAATATCCGGAATCCTTTATAAATGAAATATAAAATTTTACCCTTCGTCAGTCTCCATTGTGCTTCATTTCGTGGTTTAAATAAAAAAAAATGAAATTTCTAGAACTGTAGCCCATCACCCCTTACTTATGTAGCCTTTAACTTACTGAGGAAGAAGTGGTTTCATCTCTTGAAAATCTTCCTCCCTCTGGGTGTCGCCAGATATCACTTTAAGTCTACATCGTACATAATCCTTTATTTTCTCTGACTGCTGATTCGCTAAATTGTTTTTGTCCACGATGAATACAACTTTCTTGACTTTTCCTGTTTCGTCGAGGTGACTCTAGAGAGAGTGGAATATTGTAAGTTCTCAGAAAAGTTGCAGATTTTCAAATGGGACAATTGAATAGTTTGTATTTTTAGAATTTTAGAAGTCCTTACGGTTTACCTGTATTATTCTGATAGCCACGTATGTTTTGCCACTTCCTGTTGGCGAAACAATTAAACAATTTTCTCCCATCAATGATTGTTCAGCTTGTTCCAGTTGATACTGCCTCAATTTTAATATCTTTATTGAGACATTATTTTCGGCCAAGGGCTGTGAAGTATCTGGAAAAAGTAATAATTGGTTTATTCATAATTCTCTTTATCTAACTATGTTATATTCATTCTGGAAAACATTTATAATCTTTACGTTAAATCAAACATTTACCATGCTCTGTGACTTTCTTCTCTGTAACGCTTTCGTTGTCAATCTCCTGGTTACCATTTCTGGTATAGAGAACTTTCACATTGGTTCTTGTTTCTTCATGGTCATAATTATCCCTCGGATTACTTTTATTAGCGTTTGTTGTGTCTTTCTCTTTGCTCAGTGATTCCTCACTTATTCCAGAGGATAAAATTTCATCAAAGTTAAAACTAGATTCAAATTGTACTTCAAGGTCAGAAACTTCAGAAATCTTTTTCTGGCCTGTTTCATCATTTTCTTCCCCATGGTCGTTTATTGCTATATATTTGCAGGAGGTTTGGCTTTGTCCTATTGATGGATCTAAAAATGATGGGCCTGGATACATCGGATCTGCATTTGCTGTACCTGGAATTGTCGGACCTGGATATGGTGCGTGAATGTCGGATTCACATTGAACTGGCTTGCTTAATCTTGATTCTTAAAAAGGTTGTTAAGTATGAGTTATATATTATCAAACAGGAGTTAAATTATATTGGAGTTCAAAATATATATCTAATGTCATTAAAGATAATGATTCTATGAAATTTTAGACTCCAAATCTTATTTTCTAAATTCTTGTTACTTTACAGTTGTTTAAGTCGATGGTATCATATTTCCCCTACATTCCCAATTATATTATTCAGGAAAACAAAAAACATAAAAGCAGCATTGTAAAATAAAATAAAAATAAATAAAATAAATAAATTCAAAGTAATGTGTGGTCTAGTGCTTGCCCAAATGAAATATGGAAATAACAAACAGTATTCAAACTTATAACTCCATTGAAACAATATAAATCGGGAGCAGAGCAAACACGGACCTCTAAAACATCAGAGGTGGGATCAGGTGCCATGAAGGAGTAAGCATCCCCTTCCGACCGGTCACACCCGCCGTGTGCTCGTTGTTATGATCGGGGAAATAACCAGAAAAATTCGTTGACAATTCAGTGTGTAAATGACGGATAACAATTAGTACGAAAAACATCCATCAGCTTTGACTTTATGATAGACTGTATTTGCTGACAAGGTCACTTTATCGACCATAGACCATGCGAAATGATGACTTTAAACGAAACTGTTTATATTTTAGTTTCATCAACTCGTTTTTCAATATCTTGCTTCGTTTTAGAAATTGTCCGTACGTAGAGACATAAACCCGATATGCAGGCAATAAGGGTATATTGCGTAAAGAAAAATTGACAATTGAAGAAAACCGTTTACGGACGTATTTGAAATTTTGTATTTTGAATATATTGATTTCTATTTAACCTATTTAAAAGCTTCAAGATTATGGTTTCTGTAATATTCGAATACACAACATGAAAAATATTAAAAATTCAAAATCATCTAAAAATAATATATTAATTTGAAATTTTGTCTAAGTATGTTTACTGTATACAGGGTTATTTTTGCCCCGCGTTATTTTCGCCCTTTCACACTTGCAAACAATTTTGCCCAGTCATATTTCTGTTTAAGAAATTATACTGTATTCTTTGAATTCGCCCCGTTTTAAATTCGCCCATTGGAGGGTAGGGCGAAAAGGGCAAAAACCAGAAGTCTCTGATGAGACTGTAGCTCTACTGGTCTGTACGTATAACGAAATAGCACTTGGATTTGAAACTCTGCAACATGCATTAATAAATAGAATTAAGTATCTTAATGTAGTCTACTTCTGTTCCAAGTAATATTGAAATCAAACGAAAACTCTAGGAGGAGTAGCGTTTTGAAAGTATTTAACAGAAATTTATATTTTTAGTAACCACGACAACACCATTCACTGAAATCAAAAACCAAAATACATATTATATATCGTAATGTATTCTAATTGTGTGCCAAATTATTTTGAAATCAGACCAAAACTGTTTGAGGAGTAACGTTTTAAAGGAATTCCACAGAAATTTCTATTTTTAGTAACCACGGCAACACTGTTCATCGAAATCAAAAACCGATGTATTAAATTATGTATCTTAGTAAAGTCTTCTTGTATGCCAAATTATATTAAAAGCAGACTAAAACTGTAGGAGGAGTAGCGTTTTAAAGTAATTTCACAGAAATTTCTATTTTTAGTAACCATGGCAACACTGTTCATCGAAATCAAAAACTGATGCACTAAATAATGTGTCTAAATGTGTGTAGTCTACTTGTATGCCAAGTTATATTAAAATCAGACCAAAACTGTAGGAGGAGAAGTGTTTTTAAGGAATTTCACAGAAATTTCTATTTTTAGTAACCATGGCAACACCGTTCATCGAAATCAAAAAACGATGCACTGAATTATGTATCAAGTTGAAGTCAACTTGTGTGCCAAGTTATATTAAGATCAGACCAAAAGTGTAGGAGGATTAGCGTTTTAAAGATATTTCACAGAAATTTTTATTTTTAGTAACCATGGCAACACTGTTCATCGAAATCAGAAACTGATGCACTAAATTATTTATGATAGTGCAGTCTACTTGTGTGCCAAGTTATATTGAAATCTGACCAAAACTGTAGGAGGATTAGCGTTTTAAAGGAATTTCACAGAAATTTCTATCTTTAGTAAGCATGGCAACATCGTTCATCGAAATCAAAAACCGATGCACTAAATTATGTATCTTAGTGTAGTCTACTTGTGTGCCAAGTTATATTGAAATCGGACCAACACTGTAGGAGGAGTAGCGTTTTAAAGGAATTTCACAGAAATTTCTATTTTTAGTAACCATTGCAACAATGTTCATCGAAATCCAAAACCGATGCACTAAATTATGTATCTTAGTGTAGTCTACTTGTGTGCCACTAGACAGACGGACGGACGGACAGACGACGGACACCTTACTATCGCAAAAGCTCTTCTGGTCTCTGACCAGTAGAGCTAGTAAAACGTGGGCGAAAATTTCTCTGTATACTGTATATAGTCTTGAGACCAGAATGCTATTTTAAGAAATAAAATTCGGGAACATTAATATTTAAGGAAAAGTTTTATCCGACACCATGCACATACTTAAATAAATTTATCCTACTTCATACATGGTCATTCGAGACCAATTGATTATAAATATAAATGTTTGACTATTATATTTTGCAATGCATGCATATATCTTTAGTTATTTTATCAAATTACATTTTAATTTCTCATCGACAATTTAAAAAAAAAAAATCATATTTAAGTACAAATTTTTGGCATCAATTACAACCCCCATTCATTAGGATGTTTACACAAAAAGCTTTTCTTTGGGTCAGCAATTTCCCCCCTGAAGGTTCTTTATGCTTGTTACAGATATCCATCTCTAAAGAAATTTACGTATTACTAACCCGATATGTGTTTATGACTCCAAACTGATTCGATACACAAAAGCATACATGCTCTGAGTACGATTAATTTTTAAACCGAGGCAAACTACTGAAAAATAAGTTGGTATTAGAAAGATTTCAACAACCAAGTTAAAGTCAGCTTTTCGAAAAGTTTTAGTCGTTCTAATGACCTTTTTATTAAAATACAGACTATTGTTGGGTCATACTTTGTCTGACATCTTTCATACCATGTATTGGTGTATTGGGTCATTATCTTTATACTAAATTTGACTACGGAGTACTCCGTATGCCTGATCAATACATAGGGCTCTTGGAGGATTTTTACTCCTCCTAGGCACCTGATCCCGTCCCTGGTGTTTCCAGGGGACCGTGTTTTTGCCCTATTTGCGATTTGTTTTGTTTGCTGGATTCATGAGATTGATCACTGTTCATTATCTTCACATTTTAGATATTGATAAATAATTTATCAATTTTCCTACTGATCTCAAGTTAATTTATTTGTCAGAACTCATTTTAGATGATGGGTCGCTACTCTCGTCATTTCGAAACAAAACTTTAACAGATTACCTACCAGAGGGATGTGGTATGCCATGTTCAATACAATTTCCATTCCTTATTCTATCCTTCCATTCTAAATTACAAAAAAGAAAGAAAAGGAAAAAGTTTAAAAAATTAAGAGACCATTTGCAAGTAATCACAAAAATATTCCTACCTTACCTTCTGCAAATTCATCATCAATCTCTTCCACGATGTATTTATACCCCTTTTCGCATAGTGCTTCTAAAAATACATGATACCAGTTATCATCCCTTCTCCATATTCTATCTAGAAGAACTAACATTGCAGACATTGGACCTTTGTTTCTCATCTCAGCCTCAATTTCTTCTCTATCTGTCACCTCTATAATAAATAGAGATTCCAGTTTTACCCATATTTGGCTTGGGTCAATGTTCTGCACAAGGTCCATTTTGTGTTGTTGAAGAATCTTTGTAAATTTTTTGTAAGCATCGCTCTTCACTCTCTGACCCCTTAAAGCTTTGGCTACGTATTTGTATCCTGAAATATATCACAAAATCATAATAGGAGTTGATAAGTAGCATGATTGAACCCTGGTAATCATACACTGTATAACGTAAGTATTACGTGTGTCAGTTTTTCTGTCGTCTATTTTAGACCTTTATATGAAAAGCGACATATTCGTTACCTAAAACTTTTTCATACCTAGTTATATCCCCAACACCTACATACACCTTCCCTCTCTTTCTATCACACACACATCCTCACACATCCCTCTCCCTCAAACTAACCCCCCCCCCCTCACACACACACACACACCGATCAACTACAGCTACAGATATGTTCCAAACTTTCGAGATACCACTACTTGATTAAAAAAGAACGCAAAAGTACCTTTTTTCTCTATAATATCTACAAGTTTTGTCCACTTTTCATTATGACTGCTCCCCTCAATGAAAAACAGTAGCTCTTCCATTGCCACTGTTGAGCCTCTTCTCTCATATTGCCTCATAACTGTCTCTTTTTCTCCTTTAATATACATTCAAATAAGAAAAAAAATCCTTTAAAAGGATAATGTTTAATGGTTTGATCTGTTTGGGGGGGGGGGGGACTTCTCTATGAAATTATCCCAGGTGAAATTTTACTTAATTCGAATAATGCAAGAATAATATAATTAGATTGATTTTTAAAAAGTAACTTGTTTCTAAGAACAAATTTTATTTTATTTATTGGCAAGGAATTCCTTCCTTATATCCTTTATGCTTATAGAATTAATTGAGAAACTATCATACGTGTTGAAATGACGCCACCCAGGTAAGGAACTATATCGGTGACAATCAGACATCTAACAAGTAATGGTCTATACATTTTAACCAGCACGGGTATTTCGGAGCATCCAAGTATACTTTCCATGTATTCCAAAGAACTCCTTGGCCCTCCATCAATCTCTGCCATTTTATCCTTGAAATGAAGAAAAAGCGTCGCATAAATGATCCCTTCAAAATGATAGGAAAACATAATGAATACACTTACCATTCTAAGGGCAGACAACTAAATTTAATATTAAGGTCAAGTTCTTGAAAATATATTTTACTCACTAGTCTTATTTAACTTGAATAGATATAATATACATAACAGAAGTTTGACAATTTTATTGCCAAATTTATATTAATAAAACATCTAACCTGGAATAACCAACTGTTTTCGTCAAATGATTTTCAACAACATTTTCATTCGGCGTCTAGTTTTAGATATAATCGTCAATGTGGACCTAGATATTAAATGTCACAACAGATAAATGAATCTAAGTATAAAATTATATATGATAAAAAATACATAATATAAAGACATTGCGTATTATTTATGTAGTTAACAAAAATCAGGTACAAAGCAGTATTGTGTAAGCATTTCCTGTATATACATACAAGTCTTCGACATATATTTTTTAACATCCCATTTAATTAAGGAAAAGTTGTTCATTCACACGCTACATGGAGCTCATTTTCTACTTGATCAGAAGTATTGAAATGTGACCGGTCGACAGGGGATGCTTACTTTTCAATGGCACCTGACCCCACCTCTGATGGTTTAGAGGTCCGTTTGCTCTGCTCCCGATTTGTATTATTCAATGGATTTCTGGGCTTGAATACTATTCATTTTCTCCATATATTTAATTTTAAAATATAATGAATATATAATCGATGATCAACAACACGATTTTCTATACATGTTTATCTAATTCACTACCTGGTAGAACCTAGAGGACATGAGATTAAATTTTATGAGAAAGCTAATTGCTATTTTAATCGCGCGATCTGTATTTTCAGAATATGACACAATTATCTTATCACGATAAAGGTTTTGGTGTTTTAGAGCAGAAAATTTTTTCAAGATGATTCCGTAAAACTTTGACCCTCTGTTGTGCCCCCCACCCAACCCCTGGGGTCAAATACTGAAGCAGGAGGGATTGATTTCATAATTTTGTTTGACTGATTTGATCATTCAGAGAGTTTTCCTGTTTTATGCTCATGAGTAAATAAGATTTTTAATATATATGAATAAATTTGTTCATGATATGTAAGGAAATTACTCCTACCCAGTGGTCTGATTGATTGTATGCTGTTTTACTTCCCATTCGGAAATTTTTCACTCTTACAGAGATGTCTCCGAGTACAGATTAAGGGCTTTAAATTTAGACCTATACTCGGCACCATTGAACAGTCATATATATGAGCTATTTATTGACTGGATTTGAGGAATATATACGTTTTGTTGGATTCAAGAACCAAACAGTTAGGTTCGAGAGTCGAAAAGAAAAAAAAACGTTATTTAATTGTCGTCGAACACAGTCAATAAATATTTTGTTATCCTTTTACTCTTTATTTTAATAAATCTAGCTATGGCTTCCATGTTTATGATAATTGATGTAAATTTTGTTTATGTGCACAGCGGATTTAACTCGGTCAATCCCGTCACTTTAGAACACAGGTACTTGTTTCGAAAATAATATTTTTAACCCCATAGTATAATAATAACACAAGGTATCCAGCTCTGAATCACATGGACTACCCCCCTCCCCAGAATCGCACTCAGTTACACTTTCAGAGGTATGGATTAAAAAAATTATTACCGAAACAAGTGCCTTGCTATAGAGCACAAACGAATGCAAATAACATATAGCTGATCTCGCCTACAGTGTGACGTAGAAAAGGGTCAGAGCGGTCCAATATCTCATCCCATCAACAGGTCCAGTATCTCACTCGGTGGTCCAATTTCGATTTTTTTTTTTTGACCGCTCGGCAAAACAGTGGAAATGACAGACTTAGCATAGATTTATATGGGAAACAAATTTTAAAGGTATAACAAAATCAAAGTTTGAACTCAAATGAATTAAGGAGATATAGCTCAAACATGATATTGTAACTCGGACAGAACAACAAACTATTCAAAAATTCCTAAATCTTCGTGAAAGACATAAAAATGCATATGTTTGTCTTTTGATCCTTGATAAGGATTGCTATATTTAGTTTGGAAAACCCCATGTCAGAAATTCATGCTAAAAATAGCAGGCACTGTGTATCGGATAACTGTAAAAATATCAGTCACCATTTTTTAAGAATTTATAAATAAATATGAATTTCAAACAAATAGGTTTTACAACATTAATCAGCCTCATCTTCTTCAAATTTAATGATATATGAAGCTAACGAACTGTAATCAAGCTCCAAAGTCCATTGAAACGATACAAATCGGGAGCAAAGCAAACGCGGACCTCTAAAAACAGCAGAAGTGGGATCAGGTGCCAAGGAGGAATAAGGTCATCCCCTGTCGACAGGGCACACCCACCGTGTGCTCCTTCTCATCAGGTAAACGGAAAATTCTATTGGCAATTCCATGTGGAAATAATATGGTCTTCCAATATTAGAATGAAAAACGTCAGTCAGCATTCGACTTACTGAAATACTGTATTTGCTGACCAGGCCATTGTATCGATCATAGAACTTGCGAAATGATGACTTTAAACAAGACTGTTGATATCCTTATATCAAGGAATGAAATTGGTATAATCTTGGGATATGTGTTAAGTAAATAAGATTCTCGGAAAATTGTTGTTGAAGGAATTACAATATTAAGCTATACATATTAACATAGAATACAAAATATCAACAACACTAACCGCCACCAACAAAATTACGATTAACACATTTACTGAACATTAATTCTGAAAAAAGTTTGTTCATACATAATGTTGATATACACGTTAGACAAATTTTACATTCAATTTGTGAATATAATCAAAAATATAGATAAATGGTTCTTACATCAATTTTAAAGGCATCACATCTACATTCATCCGCTACGTACTAATCAAAACAAAAGAAACATATTGGTGTTTTGTTTATCAATGCTACTTTCTCTTTCTTTTCATGGAATTGAACTGTTTCTATTTATAAATCAATTTTCCGCAAATTATGCCCGATATAAATTTAGAATGGGTGAAAAAAAATATAAACGCATTGTGAATCCAGACGTGTAAAATATATTCCATTGCATTTAAGCACAACCAGGCATTCTTTGTTAAAGTACAGACTGAGGTTAAATAAGTCCGTTTAGTATTGAAAAACTAAAGCGGCATATTTCTGCCACCACTTGTCAGATGTTTATGTCAACTTGTCAGATATTTATGTCAACTTGTCAGATAATTAGGTCGACTTGTCAGATAAAATCATCGTGACTAGGAACTTGGTATGTTAAAGCCACTAACTGACATCTACTTGTCTTCATAATATCTGACAATTCGATATAATTTTCTGACAATATATTTTTCTGACAAGTCGACATCATCTGACAAGTCGACATAATTTTCTGACAAGTCGGCTTAAAAAGCTTGTCAGATATTATGTCGACTTGTTAGATAATGATGTTGAATTTTAGAATATTACGTCGACTTGTCAGAAAATTGTGTTGACTTGTAAGATAATATATCGACTTGTCAGATCTTTTTGTTGACTTGTCAGATACTTATGTCGACTTGTCAGAAAATAATTGGTCAACTGATGGCCTTAATTTGGCATGGACCCATTTTCATATTGAATTTTTAAACACGTGAATAAGTGACAAGTTAACAAAACGACAAGTCGACACAATTATCTGACAAGACAATAAAAAGATCTGACAAGTCGACATAACTATGTGAAAAGTGGGGGGGGGGGGGCAGAAATATGCCACCATAAAAAACCATACTGGTTAAAGATGTCACATATAGAATTTTTGAAGGAGAATGCTCTGCATTTTTTACTTAAGTTGAAAATATGTTTGATACCCATAGGAGGTTGATACACAATGTTGATAATAGGCCTTTAAATATTGTAGATAAAATGTTAAGTTAACAAACACTGATCATTCTCAAAAGTCTATTTAAGCAAAACAGATTACGAGCATGAAAACAGAGGTGGGATCAAGTAAGTCTGCAGATGACTTTTCGACAAGGCATGCAAATTTCAGAGTTTAAATAAAATTTAAAAAGCAGTTGTCTATGATGTCAAAAAGTCTGGTTTTTCATTAATGGTGGGGAACGGTTTTGTAAAGTGTTGAAAAGTAGTACGTTTCAAATAAATGCTATTGATTTAGGCAAAAAAAGCTGCTATTGTTTTCTTTAAAAAAAGTTCGTTGGAGTTTTTAGGTATCCACATCTGATCTACACCCTTCTCAAATGTGTTGCTGTACAGTGCTCCTGAAGTTTCACTCTCACTGCTTAGAAGTTGTGCAAAACAAATACTAAGAGCGGGTACCTCACATCATGTTTTTTATTGGTCATACAACCTAGAGAACCCAAAAATATTAAGGACTTCAAATTAAGATTTTAAAATGAGAAAACGAAAAAAAAATAATGAACACAAAATTAAAAAAAAAAGTTAATTGATAGTCATTCTCTAATACAGTAAGTATTTAAAGCTTCTCTTCTGAAGAGTCGTGAAGGCAGATACAATGACCTTTATGTTTCCTCATGCTGCACAATCTCACCGCAGCTCTGTTTTATGATCAATAAAATCAACACCAATATTGAGATGAAATATGTCATTTATTAAAAATGACGAAAATAAGAAAAATATATACATAAATATGATAAGGGATCAGACCAAAAGGTATTCACACAATACATATCAATATGCTGATCCCCTAAATTTACAGATAAACAATATTTGCAAAAAATATTAAAAAACAGTAGGTATACAGCAAAAAGATGGCACATCAAAAATAAATATGCCAGTAAAATTAAAAATATATAAATGCAATATAAGGTAGGAAAGACTGGGGTGGTGGTGGGTGTGCCAAATTTTTTGTTGTTATCGATAGCATAGATGAGGCGAGAATGACCCAACGCTGACTGGTCAGCTACCGACAGCATCAAAACACGTGACCATGATGATCATTTCTGATTGGCTATTAGCATACATAGGGGTAAGGTTTGACCATGGAAAATTTTGGAGTTGTGTAACAAGTAGCGGAAACTGAAGAAATGGGGAAAATTACATAACATGCACCTGGCACCTGCAAGGCATGGGAGAATTCCAGCAGATGAAGAAAAATCAAAATACTGAGTTTTAAAACAATACAAAATAAAATATTTACTTACTAGTACTTACATTTAAACAAAAGAAAATTAAACAGCATTCAACGCATAAATGAAATTATTTACATAATTTTTTTTTCAGCAAATACAATCTATTGTTAAATCAAATGCGCATGCCGACTGACGTTTTTCATACAAAATATTAGGTCATTAGTTTGTTTCTCACTGAATTGATTACGGATTTCTCCGTTTGCCCGATCATAAGGATCATAAGGCGGGTGTGACCGGTCGAAAGGGTATACTCACTTCTCTTGCACCTAATTCTAACTCTGATGTTTTTAGAGGTCTGGATTTGTTCTGCTCTCAATTTACATTGTTTCAGTGGACTACTGAGCTTGATAACTTTTCGTTATTTTCATATTTCATTTAATTATAGGTTGAAAAAAAAGTGAAAGCACAATTAAAAAACACATCCTATTTTAGCAATCAATTAAATCATCTCTTACAACATCATTATACACAAATTATTTATCTTATCAATGTTAAACAACACCTCATCTAAATTTGAAAGTCAACAGAAAAATAAATTGACAATATACTTTCAAATCGTTCTAGCTGAAGTCGATAAGTCTGCCAGATTTCACAATGTTTTCAATATCACCCGTCGACAGGTCTGGCACTGTGAAATATTTCTCCACCATATTCCACTTTTTCAGCGTGTCCCCCTTTTTAAAGTTATTCTCTATCTTCAACGCCTTTATATTCAGAATAGGATAAAATATTCCTTCATAAAGAGCAATGGTTCCCAGTTTTACGAAGCATCCTTTTCCAATGCAATCAATTTGTCCAACTCCCATTTCAATATCATCTCCAGGATACGATGGCGTTTCAAACTTAGTACAGTTGATATTATATTTTAAATATGGGCTGATACAGGCATAATGATGATTCAGAATCCTCCTTATGTCGCTTGACATACATAAGTTTGCATGACATTTTAAGCACCTACAAAAGTAATCAAAATCTCGAAACATCTTTTCGTCTTCAATCAAACATTCTTTTCAAAAGAATTGTGTCAATACATGTGATAAAGGGAATCGTAAATGGAAAAAAAAATCGAGCAAAAGGAACTGAAACACTTTGTAAGAAGGAATGCAATTATGGACATAGAATTTGTCTTTATTAACACCTTTTGAAACAATATTTTGTTTCGGATAAAAATTTATCTTTGGCTATACGGGTTTAAACTGCACATCCGACCTTTTTTTTTAAACAGATAAGCTACTCAATGAGAATTAGCAAGAAATTCTTTATTAAAAATTACCTTAAATAATATTCTCCCGAATTCACTACTCTCCTCTGCACTTGATTTCGTTTTGCTGCATCACGTTCCCTTTTAGCAAGCAGTTGAATCTCTCTTTTTTGGGCGAGATATACACTATAATTATATTCAATTAGCTGTTGTACAGTTCTCATTGCTTCTTCCATCATTGGTTCCCGTAAGACGTTCAGTGATTCCTTTTCAGCAACACATTTATCTTCTGAAGCCAAAATGTAAAAACGGCTGTTTTCTGCTCGACCACGACCTGGTTTAATCAATTATATATATATAAAAAATAAATAAAGTAGTTAATAGTATTCTTATATATTACTAAGTACATATCGTTTTAAAATTTTCCAATGTGATTTTGCTTTAAATATTAATATTTTTGATAAAAAATATAAATTAATCTAAGGTTTTACGCAAATGCAAAAGGAATTTCGAAGTTTTAGTAGAGACACACAAAAGGACGTTCGAACCGTGCAGCAATCTTTAAAAAGACAAATAAAAAGTAATGTGTAACTAGAGCTGACAAAGGTAATTCACCTCTAGCTTGAACCAATGATATAGCACTTCCGACATAATCATATCTGACAACAAGATTACACTCCTTGATATCAAGTCCTTCCTCTGCAACAGTGGTGGCGACAATAATTTTATACTGACCCTCCTTGAAAAGCTCGAGTGCGTCGATTTGTTCATATCTCGTCATGCCTGAAGTAAAAATAAACATTTTAAATAATTGTTTTTACCATCTTAAAATATGATATTTTTTGAGTGAATGAAATAATTTTGTGATACTATATTATTATTTTAGCGAGGATTTAAATTTGACCATTTCTGGTGATTTATAAAAATTCTCCAAATTAAAAATCCAAAAATTTAACAATAACAATGTATTTTGAATAATTAAAATAAGATTTACTAACATTATATCCGTCAAACATATTGATACACTATGTGGATCCAAATCTGTCCAATTTCTGATTGCCAAAAAACCGACTTTTCTGTAACCCCAAAAATTGAATTCAGATTACAGTATATTTTTTACGGCTCACCTCCTTCTGAAAGTTTTGCTAGTGAACTAGTGTATTTAAGAGCTTTGATGCGCTCTAATTCCTTTGTATTTTCTATCCAGGAGGCCAGGAGATCAGCAAGAATACGTGAACGAACAAACACTATTCCTCTCATGTCTGGGTTCTCAGCATACGTTGTCAATATGATTTCTTTCAGTTTAAGCAGGAGGGGATTTTCCGAAGTTCTCGTATGATCCATGGCGCATGCTTCTATCGTGGTATATTCCTCTTGAACAAGAAATTGGGAGTATTAAATGATTGCAATGAGAGAGAGAGAGAGAGAGAGAGAGAGAGAGAGAGAGAGAGAAGAGAGAGAGAGATTTACATTACCTTCGAGCAAAGTTTTAATTTTTTGCTCGAGTCCAGTGTGTCCAGACAATTTTGGAAGGTTTCCTATTTCCTTTATTATGAAGTGTAGAACATCTATTGCTGTTGCATGTGAAAAGTGGATAAGAGCACTGTTGTAAATCTGTGAAATTTTAACGAGATTATGAAATGTATAGGACTACTTTACACACAAGTTCAAAAGTCAATGCTATCGAACAGAGATTTGTATACTTTGTGTTTCCATTCCAAATTATTATGTCTATGCGTCCACTGAAATTGTTGTCATGGTAACTTTTAAGAAGGGGAAACAATTACATGTAAAAAGAAAACTTCAAACCTTTGGCATTTTTGCTGGCAAGTTCTACTTTTTTAAAACTTCAGTTAAAATATATATGCCAGTAATCAATTATATATTTGATAAATCTCTCAAGATCAAAACAAAATCATTAAAAATTCAAGTTTAAAATGTTTTGCTGAGTTCCCATTTTGGTTATCCCTATAAAAACAGTTATTTGATAAAGATTGTGACTGCTCTCGCCATTTCATATTATTAACAAAGCTGCAATTCACTAACGTGAAAGTTTTGAATTGTTCTGGCTATGGGATAATTTTTTTCTGCTAAAAGTCGCTAGGATTAGACCAAAAATAAATACATGTATGTATTCTATATCCATATATGTTCCGTATATATTACATTAACAAATATACCTCCAAATATTTTCTTAAAGTAAACAATGATCGGTTTGCATCCGATTCAGAAAGCTGTGCCACTGCTTTCAAAAGAGCATCTTCTAACCAGTTTTTGTATTGTGTACTCCCTTTTGCCGCTGGGGGACGTAGAAATCCGACTAGAGTTGAGAAATATAGATTCAAAGAATTATGTTTGAAAATAGTCAAGTTCTTAATTAAATGTGTCAATATTTTTTGCAAATATTTGTCTTATTCCAATTAAGTAAAGAAATCCACATCGACTCACAGACAAGACTTTAAAAAAATTGAGAAAATTCTGACAATTAAGTAAAACAAAATGTATATACATACCACCCGCGTCGTCTAAATATTTTTCAGTTTTAATCATAAGAAGTTTGATACGTGTCCCAAACTCGTCGTTTCTTCGAACAGGTACAGTTGTAATGTCTAAAACAATTTGTCAAAAGTGCATATGAAAATGATCAATTCTGATGTTCTGCTTAACTGCATATGTTGAAAATGTATTTGATAAATTTCTGTTACAAAAATTGAAAATCACTAAGCTGTATCATTTTTTTCGGTTGACATATTGATAATGTTATAAAGTAGAACCATGACAAAATTCAATTCAGATTTTTATTTTGACGTACATTGCCTTGGATTGTTCATATGTTTCTCTAATTCGCTCTTGTTTCTCTGCACTGTTACTAAGCAATCAGCGTCCATATTTGCTAAAGTGGTCTTCACATGTTCTATTGTTTTCTGGACAGTGTTAGACTTCCCCAAACCTATTGATGCCGTAAAACCGATGATCTGTGAAAGGGTAGATATACGTATTATATATATTATGTTAATTGTACAGTGTTCATTTACTTGACATAAACATAAAAGAGAGCTAATTGCCATGTAAGTATTTTCCGGGAAAATGGTTTATTCATCAACATTTTGCATGTATTAACATTGTTTATCTGTAAACTACCTTAAAATAGACACATCTATTTATTTATCATACCAGTTGAAAATTGACTCGGATAGAGAAAAGAGTTGAGCTAAAGACGATTGCATTTAGAGAGATTTTGTTATTATTTGCACTGAAAAGATGCACCAGTTAAAAAAATTAAGCTTTTCAAAACCTTCATTTTACAAATAAACACACTTATTACTCAAACGTTTTAGTTTGTTTATACTTGTGGAAGCTGGTATTCGCCACCAAAATATTCCAATTTGGAGTCCATATAATAGTTCATTATCTTCTGAAATGGATGTGTTCCACAACAGTGGTGGCATTCATCAAAAATAAGAGATGAAAAACTCCTAATGTCGACATTCTGTTTTGCTATAGCATTGACCAGCATTTGAGCAGTGACCACAAAAACGTCGTATCTGTGGTAGTGAAACAATTATTAAAAACTGTAATTCCATTTCGAAAAAATCCGGAATTAATTTCTTAGAAACTGTTTGTCACTACTTATTCAATGAATATTTTAGAAATACACCCTTTTGAGCATCATATTATAGATTATTTGAAAATATATCTCATCATATTGGATTTATTTAGTTGATTAAACGTTTCATGCAACGTACATGTAGTTTTAAAATCCTTAAATTAAATACTCACTGGGGAAAAAAGGATGCAATGTCCTGAACATTTTCTTGTTCCCTATGGATATCTCCAGAAATCACTTTCAGTCTGCATTGTAAATATTCTTCTATCTTCTCGGACTGCTGATTTGCTAGATTGTTTTTATCCACAACAAACGCAATTTTCTTATTTTTTGCAAGTTTTTCAAGGTGATGCTAAAGTAAAAGTGAAAAATAAAATGTAAATAATAGCCTTAATATCTTTGGGATAAAAAATAAAAATATATAATTTTTTGCAAAATATTGACAGAAAACCTGAATTATTCTTATTGCCACGTGTGTTTTGCCACTGCCAGTTGGAGATATAATTATACAATTATCTCCCCTTAAAGCTCTTTCAGCCAGTTCTAGTTGATAGTGTCTTAATTCTAATTTCTTCTTTGGGGCATCCTTCCTGCTTGAAGTTTTTGATCCACCTATAAATCAAATAGTATCCCTAAATTATATATTTTATAACTGTTTAATTCGCTAAATTTCATTGGGAATGATGTAGTACAATTTGACACTGAACATTATTTATAGTATAAATTCTGTCCTCTTACTTTGTTTCAATGGTTTCCATCCTGCTATGCTTTCTTCTTCTGTATTTGTTGCGCTCTCTGAGTAAACATATTTGCTTGAATTTACAGTTGTATTCGATATTATAGGGTCGTCTCTACCAGCTAAACTGGTTTCCTCATTTTCAGGCAAAGGATCCTCTTCATTCAGTAAATCTGATGTTAGAGATAAGGTCTTTAAGTCTTCTTCGATAGAAATCTCTTTGTCGTGAGTTTGAACATCTTCATCGTCATCATACAAAGAAATAAAGTCCATTGAGTTCTGATGTGGTTCTGTTGGTTCAATATTTCTTGGATCCTCTTCCTCCTGTACGTAAAGTCCATTTTTTGTGGACGGTTCCTCTTCCATCATGGTAATATCATCCAACTCAATACAGAAAACCAATATATTAAGAAATTGAATAAAATAGAATGAAATGCAAGATGATTTTAAGCATAATTGGAAGAAAATGTGTATTCTTAACGTTCTGATGATTTTTATGGTCGTTAATGTATGTTTTTTTTAGTAATTTTTTTAAAATGAAGTTAACGTTCTTTCCTTTCTGCTTAAACTCTTTCCCCAATGTAAAAAATCTTGTTAATTTGATAACGAAGAAAAGAACAAAAGTAGAATTTAATAGAAAAAGTGTGTGCAATATATTTCACCTTAAATATATTTTTAAAGTATGCTTATCCACATCATCAGTCTATTGCTAAACAGTCAAAAGGGTGTATGCGCTCCCATCCTATGAGATCATTGATTCTAAAACCTTGCAAGTAAATGTTTATTGATAGAGAAAATTTAAAAGTATCATTTTTTCATCAGAAGTAATGTGAAAATGATTATAACTCCATTTACATTGAATTAAGTTAACAGCATGCGAAAATTAGTATAGGTGCAGTAGGGGGGGGGGGGGGTGTTTAGTGTAATTGTTCAAACTGAAAAATATTGTTACCTAGTTATATTTTTTTATTATACATCAATATTCAATGAATCTTCGGCTAAACAGTTTAAACGTGATTTCTATCAGACTTACCTATAACACTGATAAGAATGCATTCAATCTCAATGCAACTATAAACAAATATTACAGTCTTTCACTTTCGTTTCAATTAACAGGACTGCTTCTATTTTTACACAATTTCAGAAAATATTTCCCTTAAGGTGATAAAAAAAAATTCTTTACGGCTTGTGGTAATTTGCAGAGTGGAATGGGGAGATTTAATGGAGTCACGGAATGGAATCTATTAACTTTGTTTTCTGGGACATTTCAAGCCCTTTGCTACTTTAGAGACCAAGTGGACGTATTTTATATATATTCATACAAAAGTATGGACGCTGACATATTTGCATAAACTTCTAATTATAACTCTTTTATGCATGGAATCATCAAGCGAGCAAACTGTTGGATCATCATAAATCTAAAATACCAAACGGATATTCTTTACATTTACATTTTTAACTAAAACTTGATTCAATAAAATAAACCATGATATCAATTACCTTATTTTTATTCATGATATTTTTTTATCATGATTTCCATTAAAATGGCGGCTATAAGACATTTGAAAATGCAAATATAATGTGACAACCTGTCATATTTAAAATAATCTATATCGTAAGTAAACGATTTGAAATCTCGTTTTGTGCTGGGTTTATCTATCAGCTCTAGATTGATGAAACAGCTTTCACAAGCTTTCGCACATGTAACCAACAATATATTAAAATAAATTTATTTCCGAAAAGAATGAGTGATTGTTTTAAATTTATTTTGATAAAATATGTATAATAATAATAATTTTAAATTACGACAGTGTTGCAATATAACAAAGTGTACATTATACATCAAAGTATACACAGAACGATAGCAAGATGGTACGCAAACACTTTATCCATTCTAATCAAATTAATATTTACTCAAATATGTTAAACCATTCTCGTCAAAACCTTATGAAATACACATTTCATTGTCGAAGAATTAATTCAGTCACATAAGGGATATCATCACGCAAGACTAAAAACCTACAATTGAAGCTTTTATAATTATATTTCTACGTCAATTTAATGTATATCATTAATTACTGTTAATTCTGACTTCGTGTGATATTTGCATCACGTTTTCCTCTTTAATTATTTCTTGCCGAAGAAAATAAAAAAAACTTTCAAGTTTTTTTTTTTCACATCATGTCTTCACATGCTGTTCTCTACTAAACGGCTTCAAAATTTCAGATTAGGTAACTGTTTGTTGTGGTGACCGTGAAGTGAGATATTTTCAATGTCAGATTCATAGGAGCGGCAGAGAAATTCCACAACGGACATTTTGAAACTGTGCACCGTTCCTCCGTAAATCGGACAAGGATTTTAGGTTTAGCATTATGAAATTGTTTGGCAAGTTAACATTAACTGTACGTGTTACTTGATATATCTTACACTAATACTATTTATATTTTAATGTTTTATATATGTAAATGATGAATATATAATCAATATGCAAGTATTATTATACAGAATAACATTAAATAAAGTGAAACATTTCCATTCATAATCAGAAAAAAAAATGTTCCAAACATAATTTGTAATAAATAATCATTTTTGAAAGACAGTAGTAATCATAACACATGCAAAAATGTTGCATTATTACTGGTCGATTACATATGAGCACATTATATCACAAACACTACCGGTATTTAATTCTTTTTCAAAAGAATAATTTGTTTATATCACATTGACAGAGGGTATATTACCTAACAAAAGTTTTTCTTGATCATAGCTAGGTTTGGAAAGTAGAACCTAGGTATGCATTCAAAACTCTGTATTGTCATTTCCTTAAATATACATGTACCGTTTGCATCAACACAAAGAGTCAATTTACATCATATCAAGCAGTTTGTCTCCACGTGATCTTTGCATTATGTCGTCTGCCGTTATTTCCTGAACTGCAAACGGTACACTCTTCCACTTTTTTTTAACGTCTCGTCTCCCCATGCTGTCCTCCATTAAGAGACTCTCAATCTTTAGGATAGGGAACTGTGCATTTTTATAAATAGAAACATTTCCAAGGTCAGATCCACAGGAGCGACAGAGAAGTTTGCCGACGGCGCATTTCAAATCTTCGTCCTGGAACTGTGGACGTGGAAGACGCTGACCTAAAACTCGCTCTTTGATGTCGTCACAAATACAAGCGTGATGGGCGTTTTGAATTTTTCTGACCTCATTTGACATGCATACATACTGGCTGCATTTTTGACAACTGTAAAATTAGAGGTAAGAAAATAAGTATTATACTAAAAGATCAAATACAGCTTGGCAAGACATACATCTGTAGATTCATCACTATTTTTTTTTTAAATTTTTAAAGAAAATAATTTTTTACAATTATTTTATATGATTATTATATGTTAAGGTGATGTCCCTGACACTTACCGTAATACGTACTGTCCCTGTCGTACGACTACCCCTTCTTTGTTTCTAGCTGCAAGGTCACGCTCTGTTTTGGCTTTCTTTTGTATATCCAGTATAGTTTTTAGGCAGCCTCTAGGATCAGTTCTGAATCTCTGCCTCAGCATATCAATGGCACGATTCATCATTGCCTCTCTGATCATGTTTAATTCTTCTCTTTCTGCTGTTTTGTCTCCTTGCGTGGCGACAACAAAGTACTTTCCATTTTCACGCCTTCCCCTTCCTTTGAAATATATACAACAAATGTTTATCTACATTTAAATAAAATGTATAAAGTGTTTGATAAAGTGCTATTTCAAAATGTAAAATGCTCACAGGTTGATCCATTTTTTTCTTTTAAATTTTAATAGAAGAAGTGAATTATTGATATCTATTTCGTCTCCAACAAAACTGAGTCTAAAAATTGTTTTTCCTCTACGGTTTATAGTTTAATTTCATTATTCCAAAAAAATATATGCATTTTTCGAAAAAGATTTTTCATGCTTGAAGACAACGGATTTGAAAAAAAAATTATTGCAATTGCATGAGCATAGTACTAAAAGGTACTACATGTATATTATAAAATATAATATCAGTGTAGTTACACATGCAGAAAACATAATCTACCAATAAAGAAACTAAACAGTAGATAGTAAATTGCAGGTACCCCTTGCTTGGACCATAGCTATCTCATTGCTGACATAAGAATACCGGATCACAAGATTGCATTTCTGGATGTCCAATCCTTCCTCTGCAACTGATGTGGCTATCACAATCTTATGTCGTCCTTCTTTGAACAACGTTAGTGCATCAATTTGCTGTACTTTTGTCATTCCTAAAATAAAAAAAATCACATTTCTTTTAAGACAAATATGCATAGTTAATTTTGCAAAATGTTTGCAACCAGAAAGTCTACCAAAGCATGTCTTTTATAATTATGTATAATTCTAAAAAAAAAAAAATATTTTTTTCCCCAAAATGGTTGAATTTTATTGATCAGCTCTCACGTTTCTTTTGCAATCAAGCATTAACTATCTTTGAATAAAGGATTTTGTTACCTCCTGCACTGCTTTTGGCCTGAGCACCAGTAAACATGACCGGTTTGAGTGATCTCAAATCATCTGTTTCCTCCATCCAGCGGTAAATAGCCTTCACTAGATCTCGAGTTCTTACAAAAATTATTCCGCGGCTATCTGCGTCTACACGAAATGCTTTCAAAATTAGTTTTCGTAGTTCCTGCAGTTTTGGGTTGTTATGGTCTGGGTCATCTGCACAATTCTGCAAGATCTTTTGGCTTTCTGTATTAAATGATTAATGATCATGAAAGAAATCTACTAATAGTTTTTCAATGCACTTTTCTTTGATTTAAAAAAAAAAAAAATTCAACAACCATATTTCTTACTTTCAAAAAAAGATTTCAGTTTGTTGTCTACTTCGTCTGGTTTTTGATGCTCTCCCCATCGCTTGAGTTCCTCTCTAATGAAAGCAAGAGAATCTGAGGCCCGTGCATCGTTGTATATGATCAACGATTTGTTGTACATCTGTTTAAAAAAATGACATTAAAACCCTCACTGTAGCTCTGTTTTGAAAAAAAATAAGCTACAGAGTATTTCATTACAGAATACTCACATCAAGATAAACTCGGCAGGTATGAATAAACCGCCTGGCTTTCTCGTTAACTATCTTTGCTTCCTCTTTCCAAAGCCTACTGAGCCATTGTGTATACTGGTCGTTACCGCTCTCGACCGGTGGCTTCAGAACACTCTGGTCTGTTACCTCTTTTGCCTCTAAAAATATGTCACATAGTAAATTTTACAAAATTAATTTTACAATGTTACACAATTTGATTGTATAAAAAGAATCATTTTAATTACTTACTTTTTGACATACATGTATGCTTAAAATTATCTATCTAACAATTAATGTTTAGACAGTAAAAAGGAAATAGTCACTCAATATTTATTTAAGGAATTAGTGTCAATCCTTTGCCTCAAAGAGCGCCCGACTCGTATGTGTGATAATTGCGTAAATGTGTTAATTGAAGTTTGAGTGAATGCCATGTGTTGTGTGAGAGAGTCAGTTTTAGAAACGCCGTGGACTATCCCGGACGAGAATATTAGATGTACTGGACATTCCGTCATCAAGAAAATACAATTTTACTTTGGACTATTCCGAGTTACCAAAACGGTGTGTGTGTGTCCGTGTGTGAGCATTTCAAATCGTCTTTGTTTTATGTAACTTTACTCGATTTATTTTCGGATATACAAACTTCTACATTTATATTTCGTAAATTATTTTTTTAATAAATTTCATCACAAGTTCACTTGTGTTAAATAAACAGGGATTGGAATTCTTCAATACTGATGACCCTCGGTTTCTGAACTTAATCACCCTCCACAAAGTTTGCATGGTTATCGCAATAAATGCAGTTTTAATTTCATTGAAAATTTATCAAAGAAATAGTGTTTTATATGTATATATTTTATACTTACGGTTAGAATTAATCATCCATTTGTGAATAACTTTCATGATGCCATCAATGGTTTTTCCAAATTCATTTTTCTTTCGTCCTGGAGTTTTTACTACATCTGAAAAAAAATATTTTAGAACTTTGATAGTTATCCTTTTTGTTAGCTTCTTACAGTCTTAATATTGTTACGATCAATAATGAAAGCACTAACCCTGCGCGTGCGTCTCTCTCTCTCTAAACCATGCACATTATTTAAGTTATATTGTTTTTTTTAAATACTAATATTAATACAATTTGTCGCACGGAAAGTATTACAAGAATTTTCATCGAACCTTGATCTGGAATATTAACATGCTGTGCTAGCTCTGCCTTGTAGTTTTCAACAACACATAATTCTTCAGCGTCCATGTTTGCCATCATGCTAAAGATCCATTCCACTGCTTTCTCTATGTTCTTTGCCTTACCCACCCCAACGGATGCTGTCAGACCAACAATCTTTGCAAAGAAAAAAAAATAACTGTATAACATGCACTCATTTATAGCAGCAATGCTATAATTTATTAAATTTGGTGTATACAGGCTAAAAACGAATATGATCACGAGTTTAAGTGAACAAAATAGGTCATGGGGAATTTTCTGCAATGACCCAATTCCTAACATTTGTATATGTGACACTTTACACCTACATGAAATTTTACATTTAAGGTCCTTTCTCCATAAACTATAACACTCTACAAACCTGAGGAAGCTGTCTGTGCCTGTCTTCTAGTTTTAGGTCTAAATAGTGTGCCATTATTTGATTATAAGGATGTTTAGCATGTGAATGATGACATTCATCAAAGACAATCAGGGTAAAGTCTTCAATTTGTACATCACCGACAGCCAGAGCGTTGACTAGGATCTGGGCTGTTATGACGAGAATATCCTTTCTAACGAATAAAAATCATACAACAGTATATTCTATGCCTCATCATTTATTCTTTTTCACATAGTTATTAACCAAAAAGGGTAAAAGATGAGAAATATTTATTTAGATTCACCTACTTCTGAACCCAGCATGATAAGTTCTGAAGACTCTCCGTTCTCTGTTTCTCTCCCGTTATGACCTTAATTTTGCAAGCCAAAAACTCTTTGCAAACTTTTCCTTGTTGTTCTGCTAGAGCGCTTTGTTCAACAAGAAAGGCGACCTTTGGAATATTAATACGCCGGCGTTTTTCTCGGTGATTCTGTAAAGATATGCAATAAATTAGTAGGATTTTTGGATTCATACATGTTAGGCTTTGGTCATTTTCGTTCAGATTGTAAGCGATAGCTATTCACCTGTATTATTTTCATCGCAACATGAGTTTTTCCACTTCCTGTTGGAGCAACAATAATGCAGTTTTTGTCTTGAAGAGCAGCTCTTGCTAACTCCATCTGATAGTTCCGCAAGTTCAGTGGCTTTGCAGCAACTGTACTTTCATCTTCATCCGAACTTTCATTGTTTTCGTCAACTGACTGAGTTTCTGTAAACCAAGTGGATTCAAATGCAATTATTATCAGCCCCAGCTCAAGATCAAATATTCCGCAATGGTAGTGACTATTTGGATTCTGAAGTATGGAAATTACGTTCGTTACGTAAGTTACTATAAATATTCAAAATTTTTCAATTGTGAGTTTCATTTTATACATTCTGGACAAAATTATCCTTAACAGTTTTTGCAAAATTATGCACAATTAGATGCATGTGCAACTGATTATATCAGAAGGCAGTCCATCCACGTACAAAAGAGAATATTTCTGTTTTTAACACTCAAGAATATAGTATAATAGAGTATAGTAATAACTACATTAAAAATTTACTGAATATATTATATATTTTCTTGATTCTTTTCTAAAAATTTTGTACCAATGGCTGGGCATTCTGGTCCGACAATATTCGGTTGAGATCCACCTTCTCTTTGGATATTCTCCTCGACACTGTTATCTATGCTTTGCAGTAGACGTGCCACAGTCGAAGAATGAATACTGCTATAATCCTGATGGCTGTTAGGTTGCTGAATGCTGAAATCACTGTTCTGGTCACCTGATGTTATAGAGAGACCACCAATGGCGACTGAAAGCTTAAAGTCCTCCAAAGATTTACTGGACTGTTCCTCCTTTTCAATCAGAGAATTCATAGAATTTTGTCTGTATTCAGCTTGAGCTACTTTTTTCTCATGTGTAAGCTCGTCATCAGAGTCGTCTTGCTTCATTGAAAATAAAGAATTATCACAAAACAGAGGACTACCCCCTAATTCTATGTCATCTGGAGGCGGAGTAGACTCATCCCCAAGCGTGTTTTGTGGCCCACCGCTTGCTTTAAATGGAATATAGAATTTTTATTTACAAAAAAAAAAAAAAATGTTATTTCAAATAATCTGAGTACAAGAAATACTGGAAATTATTCTGGTAGCAATTCTGATTTAAGCATTCAATCCAAATAGATTGGTAATTGTTCCGACTAGGAAAGTCCGTTAAGTCTTACCTGACAAATAGTTTTCTTGAATGGAAGATGAACTTAGTAAATTGGTCGAATCATGGTCTGTAGAATTTTCTGGTCTGCCGATTAGAGATTGAACGGTTAGGTTATTTCGCAACCTCCATTCTAAAGATAAATATAGTCCAATATTAATTTCTTACAAAATATCACCAATATGCCATCAATGCATAGTGAAAACAAAACAGGAACTTACTGTTATAGTAGTCGCCATCCATACTTTCGACGAGCTCCGAATTATCTTTGCAAAGAACATCCAGAAATTCTTCGTACCAGTTTTGATGGTGGCGCCAGACTCGATCCAATAAAACATTTGTAGCACATATTCTACCCTGTGTGATTTGTTCGGCCTGAATATTCTCTTTGTCCATGTCATTTATCAAATGTCTTCTAGATAACTCTGGAAGGATTTCAGAAGGGTCAATATTTTGGATGAATTTTACATTGTGTTCCATTAGGAGTTTTCTGTATTTGACAAATACATCCCTCGGTACTTCCCCGCCCTTAAGTGCCTTTGCTACATAATGGTATTCTACAAAAAAAAATAAAGCCATAAATTGACTTTTAAGGATAGAAAGTTTACACAAACTAGAGGTAGGACTATGTTTTCTGAATCAGTATTATCCTTTCATTTTCAAAGATGATCTCCATCGAAGACAGAAAGCTGTTTCTCTAACATCAGTTTAATAGTCTCGCATATACGTCGGTTGTATTTTTTCAGGTTATTTTGGAAGAATTGCAACTGACCAGCTTTAAAGTCGACTTTTTGCCAAAATAAATTTCAAATCGATATTCTAATCACCGTCTTCAAAGTATGTTTAATAGGGTACGACATTGAAATGTTGGATACATTATTGTTGTTTTAACTATATATATATATATATATATATATATATATATATATATATATATATATATATATATATATATATATATATATATATATATATATATATATATAATTTAAAAAAGAATCTGTAAAAGCTGTAAAGTTTTTTTTTTTATGCAAATGGTAACGTAGATGTTCCCGAAAGAATTTCAAGAAAATGACACGCCTTTTATCAATGACAATATGCGGAATTGTTAAGATTACTTCAATTTGTTCTCCAGAAATATACCTATGTTTCTAGGACTCACTTATAGGTCAGACATAGTTTGGGTTTGGGACCAAAGTTTAACTCTCAAAAAAATCCGACATATGCATGTACAGAAACGGTATGTATTCCTACATATTTTAATCTCGATATCAAAGTTTCCAATAAAAGGTAAAAATCAGTAAGCCATAAAATTCTCCTGTTTATTGCAATAACAATGAACTTGGTAATCAAGAAACATTACAGCTTCTTATATTGCATGACTGAACGAACCATTGTTTTCCAAAGCATCTACAAACTTCTCCCATTTATTTGGATGCCCACTCAACTCCAGATGATTCAGAAGGCATTCCATAGAAGCAATGTCGCCCTGATTTCTGTTTATTTGACGGATTTCTTGGCGAGCACCTAGATGTGAGTATATATATATATATATATATATATATATATATATATATATATATATATATATATATATATATATATATACACGAGGGTTGTCCCAAAATTCCGTAGATTGAGCCCATTTTTTTTTTTTTTTTTTTTACAAAACTGAACGTATCTTTGTAAAATTTTCTAGGTGGATGAAGTATGTTATTGTTTGTTAAATTACGAAGTTTAAACATGTTTGTTTGAAAACAATTTAAGAAATTACAATTTCAGTATTTCCATTCCTTAACACCCGGAGCAATCTCCGAAGTCAAAAAAGATACACTTAACGTCACCAATTTTGACTGGGGTGGATATGGATACACTTATTACAAGAATCAAATTCTTAACTTCAACATAAAGATTATAGAAATAAATGAAAAATAGCTTGATTGATATGATATAATTTAACATTAGAAAATACAAAGTATGTACATGCATATGTATAAAACAATAATTATTTTAAAAGCCCAATGTCTCTAAGGGTTTTTCCCCTCTGTCTTCGCAAATGGAGTTGGTTCAAATGTGTAATTGCTCAATATTCCTCCATAAATGTATAGGTTATTATTAGTTTTATGTATGTGCAAAGTTTCATTAATGTATGACATCGGGTTCCTACAAAACCACGCTTGTCTACGGAATTTTGGGACAATCCTCGTATATATATATATATATATATATATATATATATATATATATATATATATATATATATATATATATATATATATATATATATATATATCAAGCAAGCCATAAATTATAAACAAATTAAAGCTCTTTTTTTAATTTCTGAAAGTTCTGTGACATGAGACATTATAATTATGGGTATATTTATTGGACTTATAGACAGTGGAACATGCTTACATTTCTAAATATTTACATTTGCAAATGTTTTCTTTTATATAACACTACTGACAGCAATGTATCTATATCCGTATAAACGCGGGTTCCTCGCGTCATAAACGTTCGACGTAATTTCTCAGTGACGTCATAAAGGGTCGACGCGCAATCAGAGGATCAAACACGTGCCGTTGGGTTTGAAAAATAAAACGTTTCACGCGTATTATAATCAGGCAAATATAAAATATGAATAAGTCACAAATGTAAATATAAGTAATTAGGTATCATTTTTAAACATCTATCGGGCTATAAATACAGGTTGGTACGAGATCAAATTTACCATAAAGCCCTTCGGGCTTTATGGAATTTGATCTCGTGACCAACCCGTATTTATATCCCGATAGATGTTTAAAAATGATACCTTATTTCTTAAATAAAAAATTAAATTATATATTTTTAAGCTCTTACAAGGGGAGACATTTAAGAAATGGTGAAAATTGGTGGCATCTTTTAAACTTTTTTTCTCAAGAATGACTAGTACTGAACTAGAAATGACAAAACTTAAGGGAAGTTTTCTAAATGAGTGTACAGATTAAAAATTGCTCAGAAATGGCCCTAAGGATAGGTGGGGCCACAATTGGAGATCAGCATGAGAATATATACATGTAGGAAAGAATGTCTTAAAATTCCTCTCAAGAACAACAGGGCCACGATTACATTTACATTTTAATATGCAAGCAGGTATATAGTGCAGATTTAAAAATTGTTTATATCATGGCCCGGGGTGCGATGAGCTAGGCTGCAATAGGGGATCAAATGTTTACATTGGAATGCATAAGGAAATCTTTAAAAATCTTCTCTTTAAGAACAACAGGGTCATGATTTATCATATTAATATATAAGTATTTTCTAGTAGTGCAGATTCAAGTTTCTTCGAGTCAGTCTCTTGGGTGTTAAGTTGGGCCACTAGAAACATGATAAAGATTAAAATTTTACACAGGAATTTTATATATATGAAAAAATCTTTTCAAGAACGACTGGTCCATGATAAGTCAAATCTTAAATGTGCAATTGTATCCCAATGAGGTGCGCAGATTGAAGTTTTTTCAGTTCATGGCCACTGGGGCTATAGGGAGGGGCTAAAATACAGAATCAATATTTTACACAGAAAATTTTTACAAAATTTTCTTTTAGTGTGCAAATACTACGAAGTTTTTTAACCATAGAGTTAATGTGAGCCTTGAATTTGGGATAAAATTTTACATATGCATGGGTACGAAAAAAAAAAATATATGTAAAACTATAAGAAACAAGCTTTGTCATTTTCTAGTGAAACATCCCCATGTTGTGTTTAATTAAGTCACAGCCCCTATGAAAAAGGAGGTTACCTTTATCATGAGGCAAACTTTTTCATTGGAAAAAAAAATCTTGTGAAGAACAGAGCCAATACATGTTACTCAAGTAAGCGTAGTGGCCCATCTATGGACCTCTCATTTTCATTTATCAAATTCATACATACTGTCATCGATGACATCCTTTAGATGAGAAATTAACTCGATTCCCCTCGCACTTCTCTCAACAAGTGGTCTATACAAAGACACCAACTTTGGTATTTCTAGAGTGTCCAGTGTACATTTTATACTCGGCATCCCAGAGAGGGCACTCACTGGACCGTTGTTTATTTCACCCATAGCTATAACAGTATATAACATTCAATTAATTCAATACACATATATAAACAGGTTGCAATTGGTGATGCTTTAATTATGCAGCAGTTCAACTTTATAACACTCACTCAATTTTTGTTTATATCCGATTGATTTTCAAGTACTACGTACTCCACCAAAGACAAAGCAACCATATAACTAGGTTTTGTACTGTCATTAGATATTTCTAGTACTGGGTTATGTACCTCCGATTACCTGCTTTAAGACCAAAAAATGATTTAAATTGTTGGTGATGACAGGTATATCGAGTGCAATAAATCGCAATCACAGCTACATGTATAAGTTACAGTATTCCGATATCACCTGATCAGTTCAGGTACGTCAGACTCAGGTCAAACCTCACTCTCTCGGACTTCAAATGCCACTCTACTGGATTATGTATAGTACTTACCTTTTTTCACATTTGTTTCTTCTGGTTAATATTGTCAATTAATATATTAACTTTCGTTTCCTTTTCCAAGGATAGCTAAAATTAGACTCATTTGCATGAAATCTATTTTTATTTATAGGGATTTTCCAGCTTTGAAAAGTTTCTTTTTAAACTAAAATCTGGATTGGAATATATATTAACGTTAACATTAAACTATTTGTATATACATGTACTAGTATTTTTCAGAGTGCACAATCATACTTTTGTAATCTTTCATAAAAATAATTTTTAAAAGCAATTATGATAAAAACATGTTTAATTTTGAATCTACAAAAATGAGTTGAAGAATATTCGGATAGGAAACCATTGGGAAGCACAGTGTTAAATGTTGACATATCAATTGGTCCAGGCGCGGATCCAGGAATTTTTTTTCCCGGGGGGGGGGGGGTGTCCATCCCAGTCAAAAAAAAAATTCCAACCAAAAAATTCCTTGACAAGCAAAACAAAAAGGTAAAATCCATTTTCCAAAAGTGAAAAAATACCTATTTCGTGGTAGTGATGGTGGGGTTCACGTTTTCTAGGGTGGTCCTAGGTCATCTTTTATTTGCTTCACTATATACTTTTAATAACTATGCAAATTCCATCCGCCCCCCCCCCCCCCAGATCCGCGCATGTAGTCAAATCTCAAAATGATGAAAAAAGGGCTGATATTGGTCAGTACTGACAAATTTACTAAGTGAATGATAAAATGGAGGACGTGGATGCTTAAATACTCCATAGCACATGCCAAAAAAAGTCGTCCGATTTTGACTAATGACCGATCATCCCTCAAGAGAGGCGCAAAACAGTTAATGGAACAGCTTTTGGGATGGGGGAGGGGAAGGATCCATTTTTCTTTGAGACGCAAAAAGGTGCTTCTTTTAATCTTACCTGTTCTTTCCGGGATATGTCACTCTCGGACTTGCAAGTTTTCCATATATATACTAAACAGTATCGTCTCTGCATTTCTTGTACATAATTATGTATAATTTATTTAATTTGCTCTAAATTAGTCATCGTTACTCATTTTAGAACATTTAACAACTCAGATAAAATATTTATCAGAAATTTTTTTTATTATACATGTATAACAATCATGTATCCGAAACTATTTTCCTCTTCACACTACAAGCACAGGCTCTTTAAGCCACCATAATTCTGACTCTATACCCGCCGGAATACTGTAGATGCAGTGAACATAAGTAACATTCTTATTCATGAAAAGTTCAGTCTCGCATTCCACCATATTTCAAGTTGAAGTCTACACCCTGTATTTCCTACAGATATTCCCAAGCTGTTGCTTCCAAACTTTTCAATTACAAACAATACAATACCTAGATATTGAACATTTAAAACAAAATCCTCTTAGGTGTTCTTGCTCTCATTTCTTTTTCTTTTAACTACAGTTCCGCTGGACACGTTATTACTGGTGATGTTAATTTAGTTGAAAACTAGAGGTACTGTGAGCACTGAGCTCACAAAAAGATACCCCTGCCTCCCATATATTTATTATGGCAAAGTCCATGTTTTGCTATGAGAGACCCGAAATAAGTGTCCGATCAAAAAGTAAAAAAGGAGGTGCATAATGGCACTATGAAATAAAGATTCTGTGAAAGAATCATTAATTTTATTCAGTGGTATGGGAAGAGTTGCGGAGAAGAGATGGGTACCCCTCAATATTATAGAAAGAATGGCAGTGTTTTATGTTGTGTAACTTGAAACCCTAAATATGTGTCCGATCAAAAAGTAAAATATTAGGTGCACAATGGCACTATGTAACAAAGATTCTGTGAAAGTCTCATTAAATTTTATTCAGTGGTATAGGAGGAGTTACGGATAAGAGATGGGTACCTCTCAATAATATGGAAAGAATGACAGTGTCTATGTTTTGATATTGGAAATCTGAAATATGTGTGTGATCAAAAAGTGAAATAGTATGTGCACAATGGCACTATGTAACAAAGATTCTATGGAAGTCTCATTAAATTTCATTCAGTGGTATAAGATGAGTTGCGGATAAGAGATGTATACGTACAGACAGACGGACGGACACCCCCTCACTATACATCCCCCGCTTTTCGAGTCGGGGTATAATGAAGACCTAATATCAATTATCGTAAAGCGTCCTTAATACAGGGAGCCCCGTTCTTTCAATTGGCGACAGAACTTCATTTTTACTATGAATTCTGACGAAGATTAATGTCAAACGTTGGGCTAAATATGAAAAGGAAGACCTGAACACTTTATCAGAATTGATTAAATGTTTTAGAAATATATTAAAGAATCGTATAAGAAAATTCAAAGGCAAAATGTGAACCATCTCTCCTTCCGCGTTTTCACTAAATCGGAGATAATAAAAGAGTTAGAGGGACTACATGAAGTTCCAGCAGACAAGGCTGGTATCAATATCGTCTGTTTGTAAGGCTTTTTATTATGACTGTATTATGAAAGACTTTGGGTTATAATTCCATGTCTGGAAATCCTACATATACTCACAGTTCTCTTTCCAAGGATGAAATTCTTCAAAATCACATTTCAGTTTTTCATACTTTTAACATTCCAGTCAACCAAGGTGAGTTCGATCTACCCTACCTATACTGGATTTCTAAACTTCAACAGGGGATGCTTACTCCTCCTAGGCACCTGGGGCCCGTTTTACAAAAGAACTTACGACTAAGACCACATTTTAATTCTGCTAAAAACTTTCCTATTAACATGAAATAGAAAATATTTTTAATCTTTTTAAAAGGTATGTAGAAAGATACCTTTACGCTAGCAATTTTAAACAAAATCATTAATTTTGCATAATTTTACAATCAACTGAAATTTTTGGTCTTAGTCGTAAGTTCTTTTGTAAAACGGGCCCCCGATCCCACCTCTGGAACTTCCAGGGGTCCGTGTTAATGCCCTCTTCACATATTTGTATTATTTGAAGTTTTTTATGAGATCGATCACTGTTCGTTATCTTCACCCTTTATCACTTGTCTAACAAAAATGTCTGCCTCCATAAAACCTACCTTTACTTTCTAACAGCATAAGAAAAGTTCATTGTCGCGGTTTTGAACATTTCCTTTTTTTTTTATTACTTTGATTTTTTATTTTATTTATTTCATTTTCAGCATACATGATATAGAACCCCCCCCCCCAAAAAAAAAAAAGAGGGGGAAATGCATCTAATTGTTCTATGAGCTCTTTGTTTCCTAATTTTAATTTAAAGCCTGTAGAATTTTGGATTTCATTCCTCAAAGCTACAGACACTAATTGCATCGCACCACTCTTCACGGAATTACAGTGATTAGCATCAATTACACAAATCTAGACTGCACTAAATTGGGTTACATTTCTTGGCATGGATGTCACCTCAATTCAACATTTTGACTGGAAACACAACTCTATTAAGTAATACATTTACATATTGCTAATATGTCTTGTTGAAGATAACATTGAAAATTTGCCCCCCCCCCCCAAAAAAAAAAAGATAGGCACAGCCGAGACTGACAATGGTTTTCGAATGATTTAAATCGTCAATGTTACTCTCATTTCATCCTCCTATGTTGATAATACCATATGAGAGAGAGAGAGAGAGAGAGAGAGAGAGAGAGAGAGAGAGAGAAGCTATTCAACCTCGTCAAAATATATTATACATTAGAATAATGTAAAGTCATGCGCAGATCTACATGGGGGTTGGGGTCCTCCCGGGAATTTGCAGTTATTAAATATATACTGAAGTAAATAAAATATGACTTTGGAATCCCCACCCCAAGAAAATGTGGCCCACGAAATAGGAAATGGACCCCTCTCCCCTCTTGGAAAAAAAATCCTGGATCCGCGCCTGAAAGCTTACATGTATCCAGCTCTTTTTCAAACTTTGGACTGGAACTATTCCACTGGGACATCCCTCCAGGAATAGATCCTGTCACGGGATATCATTGATAACAGAGCTACCCTACTCACAGCCAATGTATAACTGCATACTAAATCATTTCAAAGAGCAGGCCAGTGAACTTACATGTAGTTAATACAGTCATGAGAAGCCTGGCATTATTAATATATTCTTTTTATTTCACATTGTTTCAATTAAAAAAAAAACATATATACGCATGTGTATATACTGATTGACAATAATGTGCATTACATCAATCGGTTGAATTATACTTTATATAAAGATACACAAAACCTTTTCAAAAGATATTGTGAATATGATCACTTTCTTGCCATCCTGCCTCTTGTTCCAAACTCTCATCACCTTTTGTAAGAGTTTTAAATCGAACACCACTAAGGATTGCCAAGAACAACAAAACGGCACAGATCACAAAAATCATTTGATTTCCATGACGGAAAACGTCCTCGTGAAGCAGTAACAACACTGCGCATGCGATCAGATTAATCGGAACACGGAACCAGTTCATGATGCTCCAACGATGAGTGTCTGGAATGATTCTGGAACGGAGAAATCCCATGGAGGGAAAATAAATGCCTACAGCAATTTCAAACACCACGAAAGCAGAAAAGGATAGACTGTAGTCGAGAGTACCAGGATGAGTGGAATAAATCAACAAAAAATTAGCAAAAAGGGCTATTGAAATGGATGTCATGAGTAAAACAGTTGTGGACATTTTCTTCCGCAAAGACATCACCTGGAAGAATGCCTGTCCTGTCAATATACTTATCATAAATGTCGAAAAAACAACCCCTAACATAGGTTTTGTCGGTTCTAAAATGGGTGTCCATAAGAAAATAATAATGTATATGACACTCTCAAAGAGAGATTCTATAGCTCCTAACATAAATATTTTTTCCTCTGTCACGATGCTTTTAAAACCTTCACCGCACAACTTTCGAAACTTGATTGTGTGTCCACTATAATTCTCATTCCATGTGTACATAACAATCACACCAGCTATTATCAAGAATGGTATTGCCAATATGTATGGAGCAACAGGTCCGAATCCCATCCAGTCACAGAGAACATTTGTTGTAAACCCTGCTAAAATGGCCATCAAACCATTCCAAAAGGATGCTTTTGCAAATGTTACTGCGATCCATTCTTTAGGAAAGTCATGTGTTTCCACATGTTCATGAACATACCATGCTTCAAAGGCTGAGAATAAAACTGATGTAGCAATTCCACCTAAAATTCTGCCAATCAAAAGAATCCCATAACTCCTTGACAGCTTTAAAATACAAGAAACAGAATATAAAACTGTGAATGACATGCATAACTTCTTTCGCCCAAATTGGTCTGCAGCAATTGGAGTCCAAGTTCCAAGTAAAACAGTGGAAGCAAATCCAAACACATATAAAATGGCAATTTGTTCCTCTTGGAAACCATAGTGATGGTATAATTTATAAAGGTAAGGACCTTGTAACCAGTCTGCAAACATTGCCATCAAGTAGGCTGCAAAATAGCCACGCTGAAACTTGATAAACATTGGATTGTTTCCAATGGACGCATCTCGGCGAAGTCTATGGGCCACATATTGGAAGGCAGCACAGACAACTGTGAGAAGAATTAAGGTGAAGTATACAATTGGTCCAATCATGGCGCTAAATTGTTACCATACCATCATCTAAAAAAATACAAACACAATTAATTCAACTGAATCAGGCCAAAAAAAATAATAGTCTTGTTTTCTGCTACCTGACCGACCCTATTTTTGCGCCTGACCCTTAAGTCGGAATTTCCAGAAATCTCGTTCTGTTACTGTAATGGGTTTCCGTGTTGACACAAAACAAGCATTTCATGAAATTCTCTGTTTTAAATATGGACTTTCATAAAATACCACTTGCGTTGTGCATCAAGACCTGAAATTTAATTTTAAAAGGCAATACATTTTTGATGGTAATGACCTGTGACATGTTTAATTTGATCTTGTATTTATTAGTTCATATCCAAAAAATGCCATTGGAAAAAAATAAAATAAAATAATTTAAGAATTCTCCTACCTACCTACCCTATTTTTTCTGGCTGGTAGTAGGAAACAAAACTTTTTTTTTTTGCCTCATACAATTTGTTTTTGCTAAACTTCATACATTGTTTATACTGAAAAGCCTCTTTTTTAAATAGTACAAATATACATGAAAGAAACAAAACTTCTAAAAGTGAGCTGAAAAATATTACATACCCCTCCCCCCCCTCCAAGAAAAATATATAAACAAACAAAACAAAAGGAAAACAAATTGCTTTTTCGATTCTTGGCTGTCCCTCTGTCTCCCTGTATGTATGTAACAAATCATATTTATTTAAGCCTGAGTCAAAGTCAATTTATAGCTCAGTCAATACTTACAAGTATTTAAGTGATTGACCAGTTTTATAGGAACTCGTGCGCAGATCCAGAGGGCGAGTCCAGACCCCCCCCCCCCCTCCGGAAAAAATGAAAAAATTCCTGGATCTGCACCTGGGAACTCCTTTGTATTGAAGACACATTAAGCTTATTGGTTGGGACAGTGAAATGTCAACAGATTTCCTTGGGGAAAAAAAGACACAAGTTAAGGGAATGTTGAAAAAAACAATCCATTAATCACTCTGAAAAAATGATGAGTGTGTGTGTTGTATGAGGTTGAAAATATTTGTTTACTTTGCAAAGTGTATCACAGATTCTTGTGAGATTTGGGCTTTTTTAAATTTCTACCTGAGTGTACTCAGGTAACTTACTCAAGATAAACACAATAATTTTTCTTTTGAAATTGTGTCTAGGTTTTAATTAAGCAGGATTTAACTGAAACTTTATTGATGCTCAAATAATAAAAGTTAGTATGTTTACACAAGGGGAAAATGACTTTTTGTGATAATACGTGTGGAATTTTTTATTCCGATGATGTTATAAGCTTATAGCGATTCACAATAAAGGATCTGACTAATATATGATTCTTACACCCTTACATAAGGTAATTTCACTTAAAACATTATATCACAAATCCAAGACATCAGACTTCTGTTATTGATAAAGAGTCACAGAAAGAATGTGGGACGTTTCACCCCTAAACACCTTTTGCCCTGGTGCGAAAGGTCTTTAGAGGCGAATGGTCTCAGTGTGAATCATCAATAAGGGTAAAACGTCCCATTACCCCCAGAAATGCATGTGCAGTGTGGTTTGTTTTTGTTATCTTTTTTTTTGTTCCTCAAAACTAATGAACATCTTAACGATGCTTCCCAGATATTTTTCAGCCTGGCATGTTATTCACAGTTAACACTGAGATCTTGTCATGCAACTTAACACTGAGTTACAGGTGACTCTCGATCTCGAGAAGTTCAAGAGACCGCAAGAAGAGTTCTCGAGATTGAGGGGTTTGAGAGATAGAAAGTGAATAAAATCCGGAATTTTCAGTTCAGATCATCATTGTTCTACTATTATAAATACCGGAAGTATATGTTGATAATGTCATTGCACGTTTTCATCCGTATTTTACAGGTAATTCACTTGATTTCAACAACAATGATCGTATATTGAATAAATAAAATGACCTCTTTAAGTTTCAATATTTATTTGATCTCATTTCATGCTTACATGAAACCTGAATAGCAATCGTCGGTGTGGTATCCCTCCGGGCTTGATCGGGTCCTTCACCAGATTTCTCGTATTAAATCGGTATTCAATTCTTGAGATAGGATTTCTTGTGCAATGTTTGTCATACTGGGATTATGTAGACTAATAAAATTATGAATATACATACTCATAATCTACGGAAAATTATTGACAGGTCTCTTAAGTCATTTTCTAAAAATTATTGTCTCGCTGTCAAAATAAGTTGTGAAGCAATTCGTTTATAATGTACCAATTATAACCAATTAATTATATCAACACTCGGATGCTCACAAGTATAGTGTCATCTACGTAAACACCCAATTAACACCTCCATACCAGCCCCAGGCATTCAGTGTTATCCAGTTAAGTCCAAGCTGCATTAATTTTACGCTTGATTGGCGTGTACACACGCGCACTCAAAACTTTGAGAGATAGAGAGTAAAAAACAATGAAATGTGTGTAACGGGACCCAAGTCTTGGTTCGAGAGATAGAGAACTTCGAGAGATCAGAAGTAAATTTGCTTAGTTATATAGAGGAAAAATTCGGGACCAGAGGTTCACTTCGAGAGATCGGAGTTCGAGCCATCGAGAGTCACCTGTATTTATGGAAGCAAGTACATTTACTTTATTATCTTTCTTTATCAAGGACATATTTATCTGCATTCCCTTGAATCATCCCAAAATACATCGCAAAATTAGGAATGAAACAAGAGAATTTTCTGATAATTTAACAAAAATCTACCCGAAATATTTCCTTCAAATCTAATGAAATTTGTACAGGTAGTAAACAGTGGTAAATATTTTTATCGAAACCCTGTGTCTTATCGTCTTAAAAATATGTTTAATGCATGTTCAAGTACTGCAAACATCATTTATACATCATTGTTTATCTTATTCAGCCTGTTTGAGAAAAAAATACACAATTTATGCATGAATCGAAGATTTTTTTTTTTTTTTGGACACGTATCTACCAAAAGGAAGTTCGAATTTTACAAAAATAAATTCATAATCTTCTCTGTTCATATAATTTTTCTCTTATGTTCAGTGATACCAAAATAGTATTACCATTTAACAGGCTTTAGCTGTTATGGCAAACCTACCAAATCCTGCTTCTCAACCCAAGTTCTTGTGTTTTGATGAGCTGTCGTGTTGGATTATCGATCCCGATTTAAATGCTATTTTGTGTTTATTGTTATGGAAGAGACTTGTTTTCATATTTTTTGGAATGAAGGAAAATGTTCTGAAATTCCAAAAGATTTTAATTTATAAAATATTGACAAAGGAACCACATTTTGAGTTCTCACATATAATATTTTTAATCGGGTTCCCTCTGAAAATGAAAGTAGGAATTCAAAGGAAAAGTAGAAAAGCACGTTTTTAAAATATTGTTGTTGATTTTTTAAAAATTACATTATACAGAATGGAAACTGTACGTTTACCACAGAAGAAATACTACAGACAAAGAGCCCATGCGAATCCCATGACAGACCACAGTTTTGACGTGTATGACTTGTTTATTGGCTTGTATTTGAAAAGTTCTACCAGAAACGTGTTATTTACAGCAGGGACCGATATACTACTTAGAACAGATAGGCCCCTGATCATCTGGTTAGGCATAACAAAAATGGTCAAGATGAAGGCAATTCTCATTCCGTCAGTTGGATCAGCTTTTTAGCTCACCTGAGCCGAAGGCTTAAGTCAAGCTTTTCTGATCAATGTTTGTCCTTTCTCTGTTGGCGTCGCCATTGAAGACTTTATCACATATTCGTCTTCTTTTCATGTTCCAAAGGGCCAGTTTCAACCAATCTTGGCAAACTGTATCCTTGGTTGTCAGGGATTCAAGTGTAATGGGAGAGGAGAAAAATGCAATGGACCAGAACAAGATTTTAACCCGGGCCCCCTGAATCTCCAGTCAGGTGCTCTGCCAACTAAGCTATCTGGCCACTGGTGATCAAACCTGTCTAACTGCCACATTCCTCCCTCCTTAAAGGTCTTTGGCTCCTGAAGACACCAACCCAGGCTCTTCACTGGCATGCAGGTCTTTCACCTGTCAATTCCAGGGTATGGCACCAAATTATGTAACGGGAAAGGAGAAAATGTATGGCTGGACAGTGAATTGAATCGGGACCCCTGCATCAATAGTCAGGTGCTCTACCAGCTGAGCTACAGTGTATCCAGGCTGATATCCATGGCCCAAACCATTACACAAGTTTGTTCAAATGAAGGCCCACTTCCCGTTCCAAGAGGTGATAATAAAGAAAAGGCAAATGCAGAGTTGTCTTATATAAAAATCTTCTTCTCAAGAACTGATGGGCCAGTAGAATTGAAACTTATGTGAAAGTTTCTTGACATAGTGTTGATTGAAGTTTGTTTAAATCATGACCCAGGGGAAAGGGGAACAATATATTATGAAAGTTTTATATGGAAATATATAGGAAAAAAACTTTTAAAAGCTTTTCGTAAAGAACAGCAGGGCCATAATTAGTGATATTAACATGCAAGCATTCTTAGGTTTTGTAGATCAAAGTTTTTTTTTAATTCATGACCCCTGGGGAGTAGGGTGGGGCCACAACAAAGGATCAAAGTATTACCTGGATATTTTGGGAAAAATCTTTAAAAATCTTCTTTCAAAAATGATAAGGCCAAAATAAGTGATATCAATAGGCAAGTAACCTCAGGTCATTTAGATTCAAGTTTGCTCTTGTCATTACCCCAGGGGATAGGGTGGGGCTAATGTTCTGAACAACAGCAGGCCTAAGGTGACTCAGGTGAGTGTTGTGGACCATAAGAGTGCTTAAGCTGTATATACATGTAGACAGATAGCATTGTTTACAATCCGTCAAATAATGATTGGGAGAGTTTTGGCCCTCTCCCTAATCTTGTGATAGCCCAGTACCAATAGCTTATCTTTGTCACTCTCTAACTGTATGTCAATGTTCTTTTCTTAAACAAAAACCTCCTAGTCTCTCCCTTAATAATAGTAGGATTTTTTGTTTAACATGTTTAAAGCCAAGCCTTTATACATGTACATGTAAAAAAAAATATTGGCTGGAGTCGAACTCAAGTCATAGCCTTGACTAACCTGACTCTCTACATCAGCAACTCTACACCAAATTTTCTGCAGTTTCCTTTCTTAGAGAAATTTTAATTAAAAACAATTTTTTTCTTGTAGCCCAGTGAAACCAGAGGACATGGAATGGAGTGAACATTACCCTGACTTCTTCAGTTCTGGTCAGAAGATCACTGAGTGCAATCACAGAGTGGAGTTTGCAGACATTGGCTGTGGTTATGGAGGCTTGCTAGGTAACACACACCTTTACAAATGAACACAAACAGTTGTATGCTGAGTTTTTATTAAGCAAAAACTTATTATAGAGTTCATTTTCACAATATATCAAAAAAAAAAAAAAAAAAAAAAAAGAAAATCTAGATGCATGAACTATTATTACTTTCATGATTTCATTTAAGTGCAAATGCTCCCATGAAAGTTACTTAATATATAAAAAATCATCTTAAGAAGGGTTATTGTAAAAAAGTTAAAAGAGGTATATATAAGTTGTTTCATCCTGCACATGTGACAAGGTCTTAGATGAAAATAAATTTGTTTGCAGTCCTTTTTTTATCTTAGCAATTTTTTATACAGTTTAATTGCACATGTTAACTCTACTGCTTTTCTGCAAATTCCATTTTTGTTTCACTTGGATAGCCAGTTTTGAAGCCCATTGCAGTTTTATTAAATCTTGTTGGTTTTGGAGGCATTTCCTGACTTGAATTACCTTCTGGGAGCATACAAATGCTTTTTTCTATACTGCTATTTAATTGTTTTTCAAGCATGCCTTTGACAACTGGAGGTGACTACATTGTTTATGGTAAATTTTGTCAGCATCCCCACCAAGGAAAATAGAGATATATTAGAATTCTAGTTTCTGGATAAAAACTTCCTTGTTCATAAAAAGAAAAAAAAATGGATATCAGCATTGATTTTATACTTTTTTGCAACTCTACTTTTGCTTTTATTTACATCTGTTAATGGCAGGAAATACAGAATCTTGGTGAAAAAATACAAACTAGTTTTAGATCTGACGATGCCAAGAAAGATAACTCTTCAAAAGACTAAAGCAGCCACAAAAAAGTACTGTGATATAAGCATAAATGAATTTTTCTTTGCATATTTTGATGGAATTTTGGTATTATTTATTGTTATTGATAGTAATTTATTGCAGAGGTCATTAGAGATCATATACTAACATTTTGATTAACATTTTGAAATAAAAGAGCAAAACGCAGCATGCATTAGGTACCACTTTTGAGTTATGAATCTCCCTTTTTTTCCTTCACAAAAGGTTAACATGTATGGTTTAGTAATGAGTAAAAGTAGCAATTCGTTGCCCATCTCAGTTACAGTTGAACTATGGTATCTCGAACACTGATATCTTGCATACCATTGATATGTCAAAGTGATTTGGAAGTCTCATCCACTTATTCTTTAAGTATTTTACCCTTGATATATCGAATCATCAGATATCTCGAAGTTTTTTCTCGGTCCCATTGAGTTTGAGATAATGAGGTTTGACTGTATATGAAAACATTTACATGTTATCAATAACTTAAAAAAATATTTATCATCATGACATTGTGAATTAGAAGCAAGTATATCTATAGGTAGCAGGGAGATAATAATATATATTTAATTGAAGTTCATATTTTTCTACACAAGTTGCTCTAAACTTTCACAGTGTCTATTGAAGATTCCTAGATATATGTGAGGAATTTATAATTGCATTATTTGGAGAGAAGCATAGTAAGTAAATAAAATAACTTACTTTTTTTAGCTCACCTGAGCCAAAGGCTCAAGTGAGCTTTTCTGATCAAAATTTGTCTGTTGTCTTTCGGCATTGTCTTCATTGTTGGTGTCGTTGTCATTCACATTTCACATTTTCATCTTCTTTTCAAGAACAACTGAACCAATTTCAATCAAACTTGACACAGAGTATCCTTGGGTGATGGGAATGGTATTCAAGTTTGTTAAAATGAAGGAACACACCCTCTTTCAAGGGAAAATAATTAAGAAATATTGAAAATTAGGCATGGTAATTTCAAAATCTTATTCTCAAGAACCACTTGGCCAGAAGAAATGAAATTTAAGTGAAAGCTTTCTAACAAGATGTAGATTCAAGTTTATTTGAATCATGACCCCCAGGGGTAGGATGGGGCTACCATGGGCAATCAAAGTTTGACATGGGAATACAAAGGAAAAATCTTTAAAAATGTTTTTCACAAGAACAGCAAAACCATGATCAATCATATTTATATGGAAGTATCTCAGGTAGTGAAGATTTAAGTTTGTTCAAATCATGACCATCTTAGATGGGGTGGGACCACAGTATGTGATCAAAGTTTTGCAAAAGAATACAAAGGGAAGAATCTGCTGATCAAGGGCCATGGCTACTCAGGTCAGCATGGCCTATGAACCTCTTTTTTCAACATTGCAGAAATACATTGTATGCATAAAAAAACTATAGACTAGATAACAGTCCAGTCATGAGTTCATGTTATCTATAATTCATTTTGTGATAGAAGGAATCTTACAGTGTATGTTTTATTTAATTCCCCCCCCCCCCCCCCCCCCCTCAAAAAAAAAATCCAAGAAAACTTTGCTTAAATTGACAGGCAAAATTGTTAATTCCTTAAAAGTCATACAGATACAGAAACATGTATGTATATCTTGTATTTCATATTGTACATACTCCATCTCAACCTGAGATCTGACCCTATCTCAACCTGAGATCTGACCCTATCTTAACCTGAGATCTGGCCCTTGTATGAGCCCAAGGGACAGAGGCTGATATTGGTCAAGGATCAGTATGGGAGAAGGGTAGAGAAAATAGCATATATGTTACATTAAAAGTTTAAATCTAAAGTTTATAGCATAACAACATTATCACATACACAAGTCATGGAGGTCATCGGAATTGATCAGAATTTGTATTTAATGTAAATGAATAAGTAATTCAAGAAATTCTTGGACAACCTAATTTTATTCACCTATAAAGATACTAATTGGGATTGGAGCCTTCTAAATAATATTTGTTTTCAATGTATTAAAAAGAATTCTTAAATACAAGAAAGTATTAATGTTTTCGTGAACACATAGATAATTTAGATTTGAATACACACATAGAGTGGATGTGAAAAATTGATGTATATTCACCGACAACAATGAAAGAAATTGGTTTCTTTGCATTTATTTTCATTGTTCTAGGTAATATAAACAATGCAATAGAGAACTTGCTGTGATTTCACACTGCAATTGGACATTTTTAAGTTTATTTGTTGTTTGTATAAATGGATGCAATGTTTACTTATGGAAGGACATTTATGCTTGTTTTTCTAATAGTTATCGCAAGCATTATTTTTAATGGTTTAGTAATTGTATTGATCTTTTGTTGAATATTGAGGATGGATTTTGACTTTTTACATTATATTGTTGAGTGCTAGAACTTTATCACCTGCACAGAGTCATATCTACATGTAATACAGTTGGGTAATTTTTGTTTGCTTAACCAATTTCAATCAAGGAGAGGTTTTATACTGTCAAATTAAGTGGTTTTGACACCATTCTGTGTCCTATTTACGCAATCCAAAAACTCTGGCTTCAGTAATCAAAAATCTCTATTGTTTTTCATATGCATCAATGTATTACCTACTGAAAACTATCTGCATTTTACATTGTTGATTGATTGGAAATTTCAATTGAGAGAGAGAGAGAGGGGTCTCCTCCTGGAATACTTGGAATAACAGGGTTAATTAGGTTCAGATAGGAAAGAGATTATTACATTATGAAATCTGTACATATGATGAACCACAGAAATGTTTTTTTTATAGAAGTCAATTAAGGTGATGGGACAGAATTGGAGATTTTTTTCTCAGTTTGTGATATAAAAAATCCAGTTTTGGTACAGTAAAGTCCTGATATATCCAATGAATTAGAATCAAGATTCACAAAACTGGAATAAACATTTACAAAACTGGAATAAACATTTTAACTGTTAAGCCAAAATAAAAAATACCTTTGTTTCCCCTAATGCGACCGACCCAATTAAATCGCGCCGACTGAAAAGTATTTTTAATAAGATAATTCCAGTATTTTTTTTAATGTTTATCAATGAAAATACAATTTCATCAAAATCCCCCAAACAAAAACTTTTTTTAACAAATCATGCCAAAATCACATAAAAATCATATCAAACTCACAAATTCATGATTTTTAACTATGATTTAGACATGATCCATTAAATGGATAATACAGAAATCATAGATGACAAATAAGGAAGTATGATCCTGATGTGGTTTGTTTCTTTGCTATGAGTCTGCTCTGATTTTCTTGCGATTCTGGCATGTGCCATTAACTTAGAAATCAAAGGTACATGAGTTTGAAATGATTCGTTAACTTTAACTGCTAAAAGTTTGTGATTTTGATATGATTTCTTAACTTTGTGTTTAAACTCCATATGAGTTACACATGATTTGCTAACTTCTCTGTAAAGAATCATGAGTTTTATATGATTTGTTAACTTTGTCAGAATTGGTTGTATGATCCTGATATGGTTTGTTAACTTTGTCATCTATGAAAGTTGAAAATGCAAGCTTTAAATTCACTCCATCTTGGAGAATCAAACAACATGCATACATTAATAACAAGCATTCTGAGAGTATTGCATTAGCAATACTAGTTCCCTACCGGCAAGTGTAATCTGGTTCCCGTTAAGAATTGAAAATGCCATAATTCCGTCAAAAATTAATAAAGCGGGACGAAATGCAAACTTGATCTATAACTAATCAAAGTAAAGCTACATACCAAAAATCACCTCAATATCTACAAGCGTTTAGAAGAAAATTGCGGAAAACCCTTAAAAATTGAAAAGGCCGTAATTCCGTCAAAAATCAATGAAGCGGAACAAAATGCAAACTTGATCTGTAACTCATCAAGATACACTCACATACCAAAAATCAGCTCAATATCTGCAAGCGTTTAGGAAAAAAGTGCGGAAAACCAAGTGGGACAGACTGACAGACAGACAGAGGGACAGACAGACAGACAGACAGACAGACGGACAGACAGACAGACGGATGGACAGACGGACGGACAGACTCAGAGGAAACCTATAGTCCCCTCCGGTTTCACCGGTAGGGGACTAACAAGCATTCTGAGAGTATTGCATTAGCAATACTAGTCCCCTACCGGCAAGTGTAATCTAGTTCCGTTCCCGTTAAGAATTGAAAATGCCATAATTCCGTCAAAA